CCAATGACTGATAGATTCAATCTACAGGCCAACGAATGGTCACAATAGATCTAAAACAGACTAAGCGAGTCCTACGTGTTTGTAAAATGGTTGCAAAGCATGAGCATATTGTTTCCCCGCATCTGTCTCCCTCCTCTTCCTCCCCCCACTTCAATCTCTCCCTCTCTCTCTCTCCCTCTGCGATCAAAATCATGAAATCCTCGCATTGATTTTGTTTCCAACTTAATTAAGCGTCGAAGAAGAATTAGTTAATCATAATTAACAATGGACTCGACGACGATTTCACATCTTTCACACGGATCGATTTCGTCGAGCATCGGAGACTCGTGGGAACTTGAAGGCAATCTTCCGCTCAAAGATCGCCTCAAGGCCTTTAAAACCAACCAGTTCGACCCCAATGTCTACGTCACCACCAAATGCCACACCATGAGTGAGAAGGTCCCCAATCTCTCTCCCTCTCTCCCTCTCTTGATTTTCATATTTTTCAAGAAAATAATGCACGGGAATCTTCACAAATTAGGAAAAACAAAATGGGATTTTCGTAATTATGCATTTAATCGTGTTCACTAATAGTTTTAGTGATGCATGGTGAAGAATTTAGAGCTAGTTCTCAATAATTTATTTACGGAACTATTTGCCTAATGAGATAGACTTACATGAAATGGGTTCATTGGCACCATAGCGTTCAAAACCATTTGTATATGTGGAGTGTATTAGTGGTTTGGGACGCTGTGGTAGCGGTGAACACGTTCCACCTAAGTCCAAATCCTACAGCACAACAAACAGGGTCTTACAGTTTATGGGTTGGAGATGATGACAGGAAATAAAGCATCTTCACTCTTACCTTGTTGACCTAAAAAAGGCGTCTGCAGAAGAAATGCGTAAAAGTGTTTACGCTAATTATCCGGCATTTATCCGGTGAGTGAGCATAATTTTCTTTGAATGTAATGACGATGATTTTTTAGTAGACGTGAATTAGGCCAGTTGCTTAATCATGAGGGTATTTCCAATTTCCTCAACCCTTATATTGGAACTTTAGAATTTTCATAACATATTACACCATGAAAGTGTTTGTATTGGTTCATTTGCAGTACATCGAGGGAAATCACTGAACTTGAGGGACAACTCCTTTCCATGAGAAATCTACTTTCTAGTCAGGCAACTTTAGTTCATGGTTTATCTGATGGAACTCGAGTTGATTCATTGTCCACTGGCAACGAAGATTTAAACGATGAGGACATATTAGTAGAAAGTAAGGAACTTTCTGAGATTGAGAACTGGTCAGGAGAATTCGAGGACACCCTCGAGGTTCTATTGGCTGAAAGAAGAGTGGATGAAGCGTTAACTGCCTTGGACGAAGGGGAACGCGTAGTGCAACAAGCTAAAGACAGGAATAAATTGACCCCAGCTGCATTCTTGTCACTGCAGACTACCATCACTGAACAGAGGCAAAAATTGATGGATCAGCTGGCGGAGACAATGAGCCAACCTTCCACACGCATCGTTGAGCTTCGCCCAGCTGTTCTAGCTCTCAAAAAGCTCGGGGATGGTCCCCGTTCACACACGTTGCTGCTCAATGCTCACCATCAAAAGTTGAAGTCTAATATGCAAGGTCTTAGCTTATCTAGCACTTCATATGGAGGAGCATATATCGCTGCGCTTTCTCAACTGGTCTTCTCAAGCATTGCCCAAGCGGCAAGTGACTCCCTGGCAGTTTTCAGTGAGGAGCCCGCTTATACATCTGAACTTGTCACTTGGGCAGTCAAACAGACCGAGGCTTTTGCTCAGCTCCTAAAAAGGCATGTTTTGGCTTCATCAGCAGCTGCCGGGAGTCTAAGAGTTGCCGCAGAATGTGTTCATATATGTTTGGGACACTGTTCGCTGTTAGAAGATCGCGGGTTGTGCCTCTCTCCTGTCTTATTGAAACACTTTAGGCCATTCCTTGAGCAGGCATTGTACTCCAACTTGAAAAGAATTGAACAGAGCAGTGCTGCATTAGCTGCTGCTGATGATTGGATGCTTCTTTATCCACCGGTAGGCTCACGCCTTATGGGTTCGACTTCATCTCTTACTACTATGAGCCAAAACCAGCCAAAGCTTTCAAGCAGTGCTCACAGATTCAGTTCAATGGTTCAGGTGATCATTTATCTCACTTTTACTTTAATACTTCTTCTGAGATTTCTAATTTAATTCAATTTGTCACTATCACGGCGTTAGGAAAACGGGATGGCATAATTTTGACTATGCAGATAGCTTCTGAACTACTAATTTGTGCTAATAATATCTAATGGATTTAGGAACTTCTTGAGGATGTGGTGCCGCTTGAGACCCTGCAGTTGGATGGTCCGGCATTAGAAGGCATTTTACAAGCGTTCAACTCGTATGTAACTATACTGATGAATGCAGTGCCTGGTTCAGCGGAGACTGAGGAGAACTTGGAAGGATCAGGACATAAACTTGTTAGGATGGCGGAGACAGAAGCTCAACAGCTAGCTTTGCTAGCAAACGCATCATTGTTAGCAGACGAGTTGCTACCACGAGCTGCTATGAAGCTTTTGCCCCTGCAGCAGGGTCAGCAGGCTAATAAACCAATGGAAACCCCTAAAAGATCTTCGGACAGGGGAAATCGTGTCCCGGAACCTAGCAGGGAATGGAAGAGGAGGCTTCAGCGCTCGGTCGAGCAATTGAGAGACAGCTTCTGCAGACTACATGCCCTTGATCTCATCTTCACAGAAGATGGGGACACGCGTCTCAACGCGCAAATGTATACTAGCATGGACGGAAACCTAGACCCCGAATGGTTCCCATCTCCGATACTTCAGGAACTTTTCGCAAAATTGACAACCTTGGCGAACCTTGCAACGGATATTTTTGTGGGGAGGGAAAGGTTTGCGACTATCCTACTAATGAGACTGACTGAGACTGTGATCCTGTGGCTTTCAGATGACCAGAACTTCTGGGCAGAAATTGAAGGGCCAAAGCCATTAGGCCCTCTCGGCCTTCAACAGGTATAAACATACATGAGAACAAAAGTAGCTTAATTGACTAAGAGTGTTCAGCCCCTCACCTAAGTCCCAAGTTTGATTCCCTCTTCCCCCAATATCGCTTGTGAAAATTCTTTATTTAATTTGTATGCAGTTCTATTTGGATATGGAGTTTGTGTTGCTTTTCACATCGCAAGGCCGGTACCTTTCCCGAAATCTGCATCAAGTTATAAAGAACATCATTGCTCGAGCCATCGATGCAGTGACTGCTACCGGAATAGATCCATACAGGTATGCATAAGAGAAAGATTCTAAACAAACTGGCTATCTATATAATTACATCGTCTGATGAGAAAAGTTGAACATAATCTTATTTGCGACGAGAATGATAGGCATATAGTTGTAAACAACATGTGACACCTCGGAATCTCTTTAGGGACTTGGAATCAAATGGCACCATTGTAAATTAGCATTGGTCAGTGTAACCCTAACGATAAAACTATTTCTTTTGGGCAGTGTTTTGCCGGAAGATGACTGGTTTGCCGAAGTAGCTCAAATAGCAATAAAGATGCTGACAGGGAAGGCCAACTTCTCGAACGTGGAACAAGATGTCACGAGCCCTAATCAATCTGCAAGATCTTCTCATGGAAGTGAGACCGGTTTTTCTCAGCACTACAGAGAGTAATTATATTCATTCAGATTCTACATTAACAACAATAAAACAGATTTTTTTTATTATTTTGTTGGTGGTCATTTTTCCAATTAACACATCTTATGATGTTTACCGATTTGAAGGCGTTGGAGAATAAAAACCTACCTCGGGAATATGACAAAAGATATACAGTTAAGATGTGAGAGATTTCACTTCTAATATCACCAAAGTTTTTTGTGATAAAACTCAACACTTAATAATAAATTTACCAAATTAGTTTTCTCATAAACGATTATGGCCCTTCCCAAACAAACTTTAGGAGTGGAAAAGAACATTAGATGGATAAAGTACCAGAAAATTTTCAATAGGTTGCCAGATTACGTGAGACTTGAAAGCAAAGGAATACTGTACCATCTCTCGAATGGCAGATCCACAGAGCTACTATAATTATAAGATATAAGAAGTAAAGAAAGAAGCCTACTTAGATCATGTTCATCTTCCTTTCGTACGTTCATGATATTGCTTTCGCATGGCTCTTAAAGGCTCAACTAAATGAACTCTAATGGATTTATCTTGCTCCATGTGATTTTTGGGAGAGTAATCAACTGTGCACGTAGTTTGGACGTCAGGATGTATTTAATTGAAAATTTGAGAGATTTTAATTCTTTTAATGAATTTACGGGTATTTAATCAAGATTTTAAGTGATTATCTTAAATTCAACGTATATTCAATTAGGATTTAAGATGCCACTTAGTACTATGGTCTAGTGGTATTTCTCTTTACTTGTAAATTAGAGGTTTTAGGTTCGATTCTCGCCAAAGGCGAATTTGAACCACAATAAGCCTATTATGAGGCTTAGCCCTCATAAATATTCAATTAATTTCTATGATTTATTGCCACTTGTGTCCAAATGCAATCAATTTCAAATCTCCCTTGTTGTTGACCAAAAAAAAAAACTCTCTTATAAAAAAAAAAAGGAATTTATTGAGAAAGTTTTCTGAAATAGTATTTGAATTAAACTAATAAGATGACTAGTAATTTATTGAAATAAAAATTACAAAAATGTTTTATATATGTGGCTACTGAGTTTCCTGTGATATCTAGGTAAATACTAATTTTCTCTCTTGAAATAATGCTATTTTTGTATCTGGATTCGTAGACGTTTAACTTGGAAAAAGAAAATCACAATCGTGAGGAAATACATGAAAATTGAGAAAAAGAGGATCTCAATTTTATGATTTACTTTTATGAGAATTTGTTATCCATATATATAGATATATTGTTATATAGTCTAGTGTATTTCTCAAACCATTCATATTGTTATCAAAATTTGTGGTTTAATTTTTCCATCCTTTGGTAAAAAATGCAGGAAGGATTGGTTAGCCTTTTGATTATTAGTGTTGCATTGTCTCAGTTGATTGATATTGGATACAGTGAAACAAGATATAATGTTCTTGATTATGGTGCAATTGGAGATGGCCAAACGGATGATTCCGAGGTAACTTCTCTTGTTACTTTCTTTTCACATTCGTATATATTTTATAGTTATGTTTTTGTATGGTTCTCTTCATAAAGTATTGGAAGGGGTTGTGTATTTTTAATGGAATGATACGAGGTAATGCAACACATATTCTTTTGTTTTTAGTTTCCTTGAATGGTTCATGAATTTTGGTAACGCACTCATACTAAAATCGCCACATTCAGACTATAAGTTTTACTCAAAAAATAACTTCTTGGTGAATAGTCTCTGGCGACATAAGTATTGCGGAACGAAAATGCTGTGATAATTTTATTTTCTTTTTTCATTTTACATTCTCTTACTCCTTTAGTTAGGGAAAACTGAACCTAATTATGGACCATTGTTCTACTTGATATAGGCTTTTGTAAAAGCATGGAAAGCTGCATGCGGAACAGCTGAAGCTGGTGACTTAACAACACTCATTGTACCTCCAGAAACATTCTCATTGCAGCCTGTGATATTTGCAGGCCCTTGCACTTCTAAGACAATGCATTTTGTGGTACACCTAACAAGGACATGTTATTTCTTCATCTTTTAATTTCCATTTGTTGCTTCTTTTTCATCATCCGTGGCTAATGACCTTTAACTACGTGAAAGTCGTATTATTGTTATTACTGACCATTGCATCCAGGAGTCAGGACTAAAATTTTTGAAAATGGTGTAAATTTTCCTTGATTTCGTATTGGTTGCGGGGAATAGGTCCTGGGGAATGTGGTGGCACCCAAAACGCTGGATGCATGGAAGAAGTGCCCATCACATGGCTGGCTCGAATTTGTAGGTGTGACCAATCTCATAATCAATGGTTCAGGAACAATCGACGGCCAGGGTTCAGCTTGGTGGAGGAATGAGAACAACTGCAAAAGACCAAAGGTTAGTTGATTTCGCCAATTTACAGACCAAATAGATGGTTGAAATTCATTATTTAATCGTTTAAATGCACAAAATTGACACTTATCGACACACTTTGTGATGTGCGCATACCCACCGTTATAGACCTTATATTAAAAAGTATACAAGCAGCGGCGGAGCCAGGAATTTAAAGCGATGGGGTCAAAATATAGTTTTAAAAAATCCATCATACTTTCATTTATAATTGTCCACGACGTGTTCTTATATTTTGGAAACATCGTATCACAACATTATTATCAATGGAATCAAATACATATTTCTTAATGTACACAACCAATCTATCATTCAACCATTAATCACCCATCTTATTAAGATGTGAATTCTTCATAATTTTTATCACCGAAAAAACTTTTTCAATTGAAGCAATCGCAACAGTTAAAATTAGTGCTAATTTCACTAGCAAGTACACCAAGGGATACTGGCTGTTCCTCTTTGTCTCCACCAACTTTTGTGCAAAGCTACTAATTCCTTTCAATACAGAAAACTCATTATGCAAACGACATAGCTTTGTTGAATTAAAAACGTATTAATTAAAAATTATTTTTTACTTTTTTAGGGATAAGTTTACAAGTAAGTTTACAAGGCAGCGTGCTGCTGCAATGCTGCTGTTGCAGTGCTGCTATACAGGTTCATAAAATTTTCAAAGGGATAACTTGACAAGGTTATTGGGGTCAAGGGATGCCAATGCCCCCTCATTAGATCCGCTAGTGTATACAAGTAAATATATTAATTTCGTGTGTCTAATAACATTACTCTTATTGCAAGTGGTAAGAGCATACCTCCCTCTATGCTCAGTTTCCTATGTTTCGATTCTCCTACCCTAGTGTTGCTTGTATCAAACAAAAACATTACTCGTACATGATAGCATATGAATTTGTTTGTATCTTTTTATTATTATTTTATATTACTCAATTAAATTTTGATTTATTACAATTACTGCAGGGTATAAACTTTCACAAATGTGATAATCTTGAGTTAAATCTGCTTACTCATGTAACTTGCACTCTATTACAATTTACAGAAGATGATCTTATCCGGATCTCACCCGCCCAGCTGAATTCCTCTCCCAATTCCAGGTAATTCCTTTGCTACTTTTCTCATTTTCGGTTTCAATTCAATGCCCGATGCGGACTTCAGTTAATCTGTAAGTTTTTTCGCAGTCGAAAATAGCACAATTTCAAAACCACGAGTTGTAGTACGTTGTTACGACATTGCCAACTTCGATGACACCTATGCTTTTGCCGATAACCAGCTCCGAGTAAGTCATGATGCCGACCGGACTTTGAAGAAGAAGGAAGAAGAAGGATCCGGATGGATGCCACCGGAGAGGATCCTATTCCATAATTTACAACATACCTACAACACTACTTTCAAATACTCATAAGAATTCACAGGTGACAGGTCCGTCAACCACCACTTGCACTTTGTCAACCAAAAGTTTTTCAGCATCGTGCACGTAATTAATTAAGTCGAATTTGCTCCCTTGGCTTAAAATTCATGTCAATGATGAATCGATGAGAGTCACAATCGAGTAAATTATTCTTTTGGATTTAAGTCACGCGTACTACATGTTGAGTAGCGAAAAATTAATTAAATTGATTATGTACGTTAGCAGTTATCTGGTAAGAAAGTCGCACTTCGCTTTTAAACCAGATTAGTATACGTAGTAATATGTCTGCAACTACACAAAGACGAGGAAGTTGGCCGTGGAAACAAATAAAGACAGCAGCAAATTGCTGCGCACACAATTGATTCTACTCCAAAAACAAGGCTCTCCTAACCTTGGATCTTCCATGCATAACCAAGTTCCCTCTCATCAATGCCACCTTTTTCTCATTGTTCTAATAAATTAATTAAATCATAATCCAAATTTGTCCCTTCTAATACGAAAGATTTTTCAGTGTGCTCGAAAAACGGGCACATACGTTATATATGTCATTATATAAGTGGATAAACACTTTGAAAAAAAAAAAATACAGGTTCGTTTCAATGTGCTTTTAAAATTACTAAAAGTGCTTTCATAAAAAATGTTTCTGGGTTACATAAGCACTTAAAGTGTTTCATGCAAGAAACACCAATTATGTGCTTCTTGTAAGAAATGCTTCAAGTGTTTTTATTTTCTTTAGAATTTACTTACATTTTTACTAAATATTAGTTCTAAAAATATTTTCACAAAAAACAGTTTAGTTATTTAAAGCAGTTCTAAATGAGTCATACTTCACTTCACTTGTATAATAACATATGGCGTATAACACTCTTATTCTGAGCACATTAAAAAAAAAAAAATTTGTCTTTTAATGCACACCCTGGCATTAAATTTTATAACTTTCACACACATGCGATTCTCTCTATATATACCTAGCATGTACAACTTCTATTTTTTTGAAACAAAAAAAATCAGCTAAAGAGTACTCTAAACCCTAGTTTTAGAAATCATAGTTCGAACCATCTTTCATATTTTGTATCAACAAAGTCTTAGAGTTCCAATATCCGCTATCTCTAACTTACTTTTTAACAACAAAAAGATTTGTTACGATATGATTATGGCGAAGTTCCCGACGGTTGATCAGTGCACGTCAGATGGACTGGAAAAGCACACGGTGGTTGCCGACATGGACGGGACTTTGCTTAGAGGCCGAAGCTCCTTCCCTTACTTTGCTCTTATTGCCTTTGAAGTTGGTGGGATTCTGAGGCTCCTATTCTTGCTTTTAGTTACACCACTAGCCGGACTCCTCTACTACTTTGTCTCGGAATCAGCCGGAATCTAAGTTCTCATATTTGCAACGTTTGCCGGCGTTAGGGTTTCAGAGATCGAGTCCGTGGCCAGAGCCGTGCTGCCTAAGTTTTATTCGAGCGATTTGCACCCCAAGTCTTGGCGCGTTCTCTCTGCATGCGAAAAGAGATGTATTCTTACTGCAAATCCGAGGATCATGGTGGAGCCTTTCTTGAAGGATTTTCTTGGATTCGACACGGTTCTGGGGACGGAAGTGGCGACTTATAAGGGTAAGGCTACTGGGTTTGTTTCCCCACCTGGTGTGCTTGTGGGAAAGAAGAAGGCAGATGCTCTTAAGAAGGCTTTTGGAGATGTCCAGCCAGAGATTGCGCTTGGTGATAAGCACACTGACATTCCTTTCATGAAATTATGCAAGGTTCGACAATTTTCATGCTAGCTTTTCGTTTTAATTAATACTATTTTTGTTTTAATTTTAACTCTCAATCATATATGCAAATTCACTAATATATTCTAAGATATTGCATGCAATAAGACATTTATACAATTATACTATTTTTTATTTTAATTAGAGTCATCTAACTAAATTTAATTAAAACATGTAAACATGAAAAATTGTTGCAGGAGGGTTACATGGTGCCAGCAAAACCAGAAGTGGAAGCAGTAACAAATGACAAGCTACCAAAGCCCATAATCTTCCACGACGGCCGTCTTGTCCAAAAGCCAACACCTCTCGTGGCGCTCCAGACCCTCCTCTGGCTCCCCATCGGCTTCTTCCTCGCCTGCCTCCGTATCTCAGCCAGGGCACTCATCCCCATGTCGCTTGTCTACCATGCCTTCTGGGCCCTCGGTGTTCGCGTCACAGTTAAGGGCACCCCACCACCAGCCCCCCAAAAATCCACGGGCCACACCGACGTCCTCTACATCTGCTCTCACCGCATCTTCCTCGATCCCATCTTCCTCTCCACCGCCCTCGGCCGCCCCATTCTCGCCGTCACCTAGTCCGTCTCCCGCCTCTCCGAGTTCATCTCCCTAATCAAGACCGTCCGCCTCAACCGCGACCGGGCCCTCGATGCCGCCATGATCAAGAAGCTTCTAGAAGAGGGTGACCTGTCAATCTGTCCGGAAGGCACCACGTGCCGGGAACCCTTCCTCCTGAGATTCTCCGCACTTTTCGCGGAGCTGACGGACGAGCTGGTCCCGGTGGCGATAGTCAACAAAATGAACATGTTTCACGGGACCACCGCATGTGGGTGGAAGGGGATGGATTCATTCTACTTCTTCATGAACCCGAGCCCGGCGTACGAGGTGACGTTTCTGAACAAGCTGCCGGCGGAGCTGACGTGTGGGGCCGGGAAGTCGAGCCATGAGGTGGTGAATTATATACATAGGGTTATAGCGGCCAACCTTTCGTATGAATACACCGGGTTCACCAGGAAGGATAAGTACTGGGCTCTTGCCGGAAATGATGGGACCGTGACTAAGAAGCCGTTGCTTCACCCCAGTAAAGTCATGGGCTGCTAGCTTTATATTTTGGGAATTATTTTTCTAAAGTTTTTAGAACTTTGATTAACTTAGCTTATATTTGGGGAAAAGCCTTATTTAAGTATACTTTTTCTAGCCTGGTTAAATGTTTATGTAGAAATACATGGCATGGGAAAAGTAGAATGTTTATCAAGAAGAAATTATGTATTTGTATTTCCCTATTCTTTGTTTAGAATAATATCAATTAATGAAATATTTCTTACTTAAAAAAAAAAAATTGTTAGAAGCATACTAAAATTTTTATTGAAAAAATAAAACACCTACAAAATGCTTCCCAAAAGAACATTTATCAAAATCAAGTTGAAATTCCCCCACCGGTGATATCTTTTGAATAAGAAAAAAGTTCGTCAAAATTTCATTTTAAATTCAAGTACTTTTTAATTTTTCTGTCAAACGCTCTAACAACGCTTACAATTAGTCATTCTGACACTTTCAAACATATACAATTTCGACATTAGAGGTGTTGTTATTAGTACTAAAAAAAATTCTTGTACAAATATTATTTTATACGTCAATAACACCATCCCTTTAAAAATGAAAAGACTAAAATATGTAAGTGAAGATCCAATGACTATGATAGATTCAATCTACAGGCCAACGAATGGTCACAATAGATCTAAAACAGACTAAGCGAGTCCTACGTGTTTGTAAAATGGTTGCAAAGCATGAGCATATTGTTTCCCCGCATCTGTCTCCCTCCTCTTCCTCTTCCTCTTCCTCTTCCTCCTCCCACTTCAATCTCTCCCTCTCTCTCTCTCCCTCTGCGATCAAAATCATGAAATCCTCGCATTGATTTTGTTTCCAACTTAATTAAGCGTCGAAGAAGAATTAGTTAATCATAATTAACAATGGACTCGACGACGATTTCACATCTTTCACACGGATCGATTTCGTCGAGCATCGGAGACTCGTGGGAACTTGAAGGCAATCTTCCGCTCAAAGATCGCCTCAAGGCCTTTAAAACCAACCAGTTCGACCCCAATGTCTACGTCACCACCAAATGCCACACCATGAGTGAGAAGGTCCCCAATCTCTCTCCCTCTCTCCCTCTCTTGATTTTCATATTTTTCAAGAAAATAATGCACGGGAATCTTCACAAATTAGGAAAAACAAAATGGGATTTTCGTAATTATGCATTTAATCGTGTTCACTAATAGTTTTAGTGATGCATGGCGAAGAATTTAGAGCTAGTTATAATTCATTTACGGAACTATTTGCCTAATGAGATGGACTTACATGAAATGGGTTCATCGGCACCATAGCGTTCAAAACCATTTGTATATGTGGAGTGTATTAGTGGTTTGGGACGCTGTGGTAGCGGTGAACACGTTCCACCTAAGACCAAATCCTACAGCACAACAAACAGGGTCTTACAGTTTCTGGGTTGGAGATGATGACAGGAAATAAAGCATCTTCACTCTTACCTTGTTGACCTAAAGAAGGCGTCTGCAGAAGAAATGCGTAAAAGTGTTTACGCTAATTATCCGGCATTTATCCGGTGAGTGAGCATAATTTTCTTTGAATGTAATGACGATGATTTTTTAGTAGACGTGAATTAGGCCAGTTGCTTAATCATGAGGGTATTTCCAATTTCCTCAACCCTTATATTGGAACTTTAGAATTTTCATAACATATTACACCATGAAAGTGTTTGTATTGGTTCATTTGCAGTACATCAAGGGAAATCACTGAACTTGAGGGACAACTCCTTTCCATGAGAAATCTACTTTCTAGTCAGGCAACTTTAGTTCATGGTTTATCTGATGGAACTCGAGTTGATTCATTGTCCACTGGCAACGAAGATTTAAACGACGAAGACATATTAGTAGAAAGTAAGGAACTTTCTGAGATTGAGAACTGGTCAGGAGAATTCGAGGACACCCTCGAGGTTCTATTGGCTGAAAGAAGAGTGGATGAAGCGTTAACTGCCTTGGACGAAGGGGAACGCGTAGTGCAACAAGCTAAAGACAGGAATAAATTGACCCCAGCTGCATTCTTGTCACTGCAGACTACCATCACTGAACAGAGGCAAAAATTGATGGATCAGCTGGCGGAGACAATGAGCCAACCTTCCACGCGCATCGTTGAGCTTCGCCCAGCTGTTCTAGCTCTCAAAAAGCTCGGGGATGGTCCCCGTTCACACACGTTGCTGCTCAATGCTCACCATCAAAAGTTGAAGTCTAATATGCAAGGTCTTAGCTTATCTAGCACTTCATATGGAGGAGCATATATCGCTGCGCTTTCTCAACTGGTCTTCTCAAGCATTGCCCAAGCGGCAAGTGACTCCCTGGCAGTTTTCAGTGAGGAGCCCGCTTATACATCTGAACTTGTCACTTGGGCAGTCAAACAGACCGAGGCTTTTGCTCAGCTCCTCAAAAGGCATGTTCTGGCTTCATCAGCAGCTGCCGGGAGTCTAAGAGTTGCCGCAGAATGTGTTCATATATGTTTGGGACACTGTTCGCTATTAGAGGATCGCGGGTTGTGCCTCTCTCCTGTCTTATTGAAACACTTTAGGCCATTCCTTGAGCAGGCATTGTACTCCAACTTGAAAAGAATTGAACAGAGCAGTGCTGCATTAGCTGCTGCTGATGATTGGATGCTTCTTTATCCACCGGTAGGCTCACGCCTTATGGGTTCGACTTCATCTCTTACTACTATGAGCCAAAACCAGCCAAAGCTTTCAAGCAGTGCTCACAGATTCAGTTCAATGGTTCAGGTGATCATTTATCTCACTTTTACTTTAATACTTCTTCTGAGATTTCCAACTTAATTCAATTTGTCACTATCACGGCGTTAGGAAAACGGGATGGCATAATTTTGGCTATGCAGATAGCTTCTGAACTACTAATTTGTGCTAATAATATCTAATGGATTTAGGAACTTCTTGAGGATGTGGTGCCGCTTGAGACCCTGCAGTTGGATGGTCCGGCATTAGAAGGCATTTTACAAGCGTTCAACTCGTATGTAACTATACTGATGAATGCAGTGCCTGGTTCAGCGGAGACTGAGGAGAACTTGGAAGGATCAGGACATAAACTTGTTAGGATGGCGGAGACAGAAGCTCAACAGCTAGCTTTGCTAGCAAACGCATCATTGTTAGCAGACGAGTTGCTACCACGAGCTGCTATGAAGCTTTTGCCCCTGCAGCAGGGTCAGCAGGCTAATAAACCAATGGAAACCCCTAAAAGATCTTCGGACAGAGGAAATCGTGTCCCAGAACCTAGTAGGGAATGGAAGAGGAGGCTTCAGCGCTCGGTCGAGCAATTGAGAGACAGCTTCTGCAGACTACATGCCCTTGATCTCATCTTCACAGAAGATGGGGACACGCGTCTCAACGCGCAAATGTATACTAGCATGGACGGAAACCTAGACCCCGAATGGTTCCCATCTCCGATACTTCAGGAACTTTTCGCAAAATTGACAAACTTGGCGAACCTTGCAACGGATATTTTTGTGGGGAGGGAAAGGTTTGCGACTATCCTACTAATGAGACTGACTGAGACTGTGATCTTGTGGCTTTCAGATGACCAGAACTTCTGGGCAGAAATTGAAGGGCCAAAGCCATTAGGCCCTCTCGGCCTTCAACAGGTATAAACATACATGAGAACAAAAGTAGCTTAATTGACTAAGAGTGTTCAGCCCCTCACCTAAGTCCCAAGTTTGATTCCCTCTTCCCCCAATATCGCTTGTGAACAATTCTTTATTTAATTTGTATGCAGTTCTATTTGGATATGGAGTTTGTGTTGCTTTTCACATCGCAAGGCCGGTACCTTTCCCGAAATCTGCATCAAGTTATAAAGAACATCATTGCTCGAGCCATCGATGCAGTGACTGCTACCGGAATAGATCCATACAGGTATGCATAAGAGAAAGATTCTAAACAAACTGGCTATCTATATAATTACATCGTCTGATGAGAAAAGTTGAACATAATCTTATTTGCGGCGAGATTGATAGGCATATAGTTGTAAACAACAGGTGACACCTCGGAATCTCTTTAGGGACTTGGAATCAAATGGCACCATTGTAAATTAGCATTGGTCAGTGTAACCCTAACGATAAAACTATTTCTTTTGGGCAGTGTTTTGCCGGAAGATGACTGGTTTGCCGAAGTAGCTCAAATAGCAATAAAGATGCTGACAGGGAAGGCCAACTTCTCGAACGTGGAACAAGATGTCACGAGCCCTAATCAATCTGCAAGATCTTCTCATGGAAGTGAGACCGGTTTTTCTCAGCACTACAGAGAGTAATTATATTCATTCAGATTCTACATTAACAACAATAAAACAGATCTTTTTTATTATTTTATTGGTGGTCATTTTTCCAATTAACACATCTTATGATGTTTACCGATTTGAAGGCGTTGGAGAATAAAAACCTACATCGGGAATATGACAAAAGATATACAGTTAAGATGTGAGAGATTTCACTTCTAATATCATTAAAGTTTTTTTTTTGATAAAACTCAACATTTACTAATAAATTTACCAAATTAGTTTTCTCATAAACGATTATGGCCCTTTCAAACAAGCTTTAGGTGTGGAAAAGAACATTAGATGGATAAAGTAGCAGAAAATTTTCAATAGGTTGCCAGACTACGTGAGACTTGAAAGCAACGGAATACTATACCATCTCTCGAATGGCGGATCCATAGAGCTACTATAATTATAAGATATAAGAAGTAAAGAAAGAAGCCTACTTCGATCATGTTCATCTTCCTTTCGTACATTCATGATATTGCTTTCGCATGGCTCTTAAAGGCTCAACTAAATGAACTCTAATGGATTTATCTTGCTCCATGTGATTTTTGGGAGAGTAATCAACTGTACATGTAGTTTGGACGTCAGGATGTATTTAATTGAAAATTTGAGAGATTGTAATTCTTTTAAGGTATTCAATCAAGATTTTAAGTGATTATCTTAAATTCAACGTATATTCAATTAGGATTTAAGATGCCACTTAATACTATGGTCTAGTGGTATTTCTCTTTACTTGTAAATGAGAGGTTTTAGGTTCGATTTTCGCCAAATGTGAATTTGAACCATAATAAGCCTATTGTGAGGCTTAGCCCTCATAAATATTCAATTAATTTCTATGATTTATTGCCACTTGTGTCCAAATGCAATCAATTTCAAATCTCCCTTGTTGTTGACCAAAAAAAAAACCTCTCTTAAAAAAAAAAAAGGAATTTATTGAGAAAGTTTTCTGAAATAGTATATGAATTAAACTAATAGGATGACTAGTAATTTATTGAAATAAAAATTACAAAAATGTTTTATATATGTGGCTACTGAGTTTCCTGTGATATCTAGGTAATTACTAATTTTCTCTCTTGGAATAATGCTATTTTTGTATCTGGAATCGTAGACGTTTAACTTGGAAAAAGAAAATCACAATCGTGAGGAAATACATGGAAATTGAGAAAAAGAGGATCTCAATTTTATGATTTACTTTTATGAGAATTTGTTATCCATATATATAGATATATTGTTATATAGTCTAGTGTATTTCTCAAACCATTCATATTGTTATCAAAATTTGTGGTTTAATTTTTCCATCCTTTGGTAAAAAATGCAGGAAGTATTGGTTAGCCTTTTGATGATTAGTGTTGCATTGTCTCAGTTGATTGATATTGGATATAGTGAAACAAGATATAATGTTCTTGATTATGGTGCAATTGGAGATGGCCAAACGGATGATTCCGAGGTAACTTCTCTTGTTACTTTCTTTTCACATTCGTATATGTTTTATAGTTATATATGTTTTTGTATGGTTCTCTTCATAAAGTATTGGAAGGGGTTGTGTATTTTTAATGGAATGATACGAGGTAATGCAACACATATTCTCTTGTTTTTAGTCTCCTTGAATGGTTCATGAATTTTGGTAACGCACCCATGCTAAAATCACCACACTACTAATTCAGACTATAAGTTTTACGCAAAAAATAACTTCTTAGTGAATAGTCTCTGGCGATATAAGTATTGCGGAACGAAAATGCCAATGATAATTTTATTTTATTTTTTCATTTTACATTCTCTTACTCCTTTAGTTAGGGAAAACTGAACCTAATTATGGACCATTGTTCTACTTGATATAGGCTTTTGTAAAAGCATGGAAAGCTGCATGCGGAACAGCTGAAGCTGGTGACTTAACAACACTCATTGTACCTCCAGAAACATTCTCATTGCAGCCTGTGATATTTGCAGGCCCTTGCACTTCTAAGACAATGCATTTTGTGGTACACCTAACAAGGACATGCTATTTCTTCATCTTTTAATTTCCATTTGTTGCTTCTTTTTCATCATCCGTGGCTAATGACCTTTAACTACGTGAAAGTCGTATTACTGTTATTACTGACCATTGCATCCAGGAGTCAGGACTAAAATTTTTGAAAATGGTGTAAATTTTCCTTGATTTCGTATTGGTTGCGGGGAATAGGTCCTGGGGAATGTGGTGGCACCCAAAACGCTGGATGCATGGAAGGAGTGCACATGGCTGGCTCGAATTTGTAGGTGTGACCAATCTCATAATCAATGGTTCAGGAACAATCGACGGCCAGGGTTCAGCTTGGTGGAGGAATGAGAAGAACTGCAAAAGACCAAAGGTTAGTTGATTTCGCCAATTTACGGACCAAATAGGTGGTTGAAATTCATTATTTAATCATTTAAATACACAAAATTGACACTTATCGACACATTTTGTGATGTGCGCATACCCACCGTTATAGACCTTATATTAAAAAGTATACAAGCAGCGGCGGAGCCAGGAATTTAAAGCGATGGGGTCAAAATATAGTTTTAAAAAATTCATCATACTTTCATTTATAATTGTCCACGACGTGTTCTCATACTTTGGAAACATCGTATCACAACATTATTATCAATGGAATCAAATACATCTTTCTTAATGTACACAATCAATCTATCATTCAACCATTAATCACCCATCTTATTAAGATGTGGATTCTTCATAATTTTCATCACCGAAAAAACTTTTTCAATTGAAGCAGTCGCAACAGTTAAAATCAGTACTAATTTCACTAGCAAGTACACCAAGGGATATTATCTGTTCCTCTTTGTCTCCACCAACTTTTGTGCAAAGCTACTAATTCCTTTCAATACAGAAAACTCATTATGCAAACGACATAGCTTTGTTAAATTAAAAACGTATTAATTAAAAATTATTTTTTACTTTTTAGGGATAAGTTTAGAAAAGGATAAGTTTACAAGGCAGCGTGCTGCTGCAATGCTGCTGTTGCAGTGCTGCTATACAGGTTCATAAAATTTTCAAAGGGATAACTTGACAAGGTTATTAGGGTCAAGGGATGCCAATGCCCCCTCATTGGATCCGCTAGTGTATACAAGTAAATATATTAATTTCGTGTGTCTAATAACATTACTCTTATTGCAAGTGGTAAGAGCATACCCCCCTCTATGCTCAGTTTCCTATGTTTCGATTCTCCTACCCTAGTGTTGCTTGTATCAAATAAAATCATTACTCGTACATGATAGCACATGAATTTGTTTGTATCTTTTTATTATAATTTTATATTACTCAATTAAATTTTGATTTATTACAATTACTGCAGGGTATAAACTTTCACAAATGTGATAATCTTGAGTTAAATCTACTTACTCATGTAAATAGCCCAGGAGCTCATATTGGTATAAACCAGTGCAACAACATCGATATCCACCATCTTACTATAAGTGCACCTGAAGATAGTCCAAACACTGATGGAATTGACATCTCAAACTCTACCCATGTCAATATTCACGACACTTATATTGGAACTGGTAATTAATTTAAATTTGATTTATTTTGTAAGCAAGCATGTAGCCAAATCAATTTCTTTGCATTTTGTTAACAGGAGCTGACTGTATAGCTATCCACACTGGCTCTTCCGATGTCAACATTACCAACATTGCATGCGGACCAGGCCATGGAATTAGGTTTATCCAGAATAACCACAGAAGAGAATGTTATGTGAATTTTATTGACAACGTACTAATTAGATGTTGAGCATCTAAAAATTAAGTTAAAATTCTTTTTATGAACAGTGTGGGAAGCTTAGAATCGCACGGGGCTTATGAAGCCGTGGGAAATATTTACGTGAAAGGTTCTAGTTTCAACAGAACTCAAAACGGAGCAAGAATCAGGACATGGCCGGTAAAATTAATTACAACTATGTAATCGAAAAGAATTCCAGTGTGTGTGTGTGTGTGTGTGTGTAGTTAGTAAATATAATTTCAGTCTCTAATTAAATTAACATACATTTTACTCGTTTTCTGTGTTTGATCGATTCACTGAGATATCATCCTTGTTAATTTTCACAGGGAGGATCTGGGTATGTCAAGAATATAACTTTTGAGGACATCACACTTACTGCAGCTAAAAACCCCATCATCATCGACCAATTTGATTGTGATGATAAACACGGTTGCACAAATAAGGTATTTTGCTTTAAATATTCTTTCTTTAATTTGAAGTGTTGGTTCAATAATCAAAACTGTGAACCTGTGCATGTAAAACATTCCACGTTAATTACCACATAGTCTAATAAGATAAAATATTTTCACGGATATTTTTACCAGGTTAACATATTTAAACATGTTATTAGTATCATTGTGTAGACACTATATGCTTCCGCACACTGTAAAATGAAAAGAAACAAAGTAGACGAGAAAATAATGCAAGGTCTAAGTTCTAATCCTGCTTTTTTGACCTAATCCTACATTTTTCTGCCCTAATTAATTATCATGCTTCTTTTCCCTAGTGCTACACCAGTGCCCTAATCCTACATTAAACAATTACATACATAGTCTAATAAGAGAAAAATTCAAGGTTTATATTTGTTGACACGGGCTTGACTTGTTCCGAATGTTGATGATTACCACAGACCTTATCAGCTGTGTCGGTGAGCAATGTGAGATACATTGGTTTTGAAGGAACATGTGGTAACGAGGAGGCGATTGTGTTGAACTGCAGCCAGATTTCAGGCTGTCAAAACATCGTTATTGAACATGTTAGCATCACCTCTGCGGTTCCTGGGAAGAAGGTTTATGCAACCTGCAAACATGCAAAAGGAACTTGCACTGACACTAATGTGCCCGTATCTTGCCTCAAGGGAAATCCAAACTCAATTGCTCCATAGCTTCAACGTCTCCTAACCCTAATGTTGTAATTCCTTGTGACCGTGTAATAAGAGGCTTATTGTACTCTCTCTTTTTGTTGGAGGAAGTTTTCAATGTGTAAGAGTTAATTCTGGCAAAAATTAATATACTGCAATAAGCAACACACCTAACTCAATAATTCACGTATGTTAATTGTCTTATAGAGATTAAATGGGAAATGGAAGCACATGTGAATTGGTATAGATTAGAGAACATGGCTGGAAAATAAAACCAAAATACCCTTTAATTTACTAGAAGAAGGAGAACTTTTCCATTTTTCTGATTTATTGGACCAAAATAAGCAAGCCATCACATGGAGGGCTGTCTATCATGTGCAGACACTGATATGCTTTTAAGCACCATACACTGTAAAACGAAAAGAAACAAAATAAAATAGAAAATAAGGCCAGTTCTAAGTTCTAATTAATTATCAAGCTTTTTTGACCTAGTCCATTTTTTCTGTGAATTTGCTTCTTGCCCTAATCAGATACTAATTTTTTTTAATTATCGTGTTTCCTTTCCCTAAGCCCTAATCCTACATTAAACAATCACACGATACATACATGATTTTCTTTATACACACAAGACTTTTACGATCACAAATAATACATAAAAATTTGCGATCACAAATAATACTCAAAAATCAACTCCTAAAGTACAAAGACAGGTTCACAAATAAAACACAATATGTACTTTCCCAATTCTAATCTTGATTTCTCATGGCTGTCCATACTACTAGAGTGCAAATTAATTAAATTATATTGGCACCTTAATGCAAAGACCAAAATGGGTTAAGTTTTTAAACATACCAAAAATAATACAAAAAAATTACTCTCAAGGTGTAAGACAAGTTTACAAATATTTGTAAAGGTTGGAAGCCTAGAAGTCCCACGGATTATTTTTTAGATCACCGACTTTGCTTTGATGTACAGTTTTCACTTGGGATAAAAAAAAATTATAATAAACATGGTAGAGCAAATAAGGTATTTTGCCTTATATATTATTTCTTTAATTTGAAGTGTATCAATTATTCAATATGGATGGTTATTTATAGGGTAATTAATGTTATTTTTCATTAAGTTGTCAAAACTATGGACCTGTACCTGTATTCACATTCAAACATGGCAATGTAAAACTTTCCACGTTACCAAAGTCTAAAAGAGAGCATAATTTCACGGTTTATATTTGTTGACATGGGCTTATCATTCTCTCTTTTTCTTGGAGGAAGTTTTCGATGTGTAAGAGTTAATTTTGGCAAAAGTTGATAATAAAGGGAGAGATGTACTGCAATAAGCAACACACCTAACCCAATAATTTACGTATGTTAATTGTCTTAAACAGATTAAAGATTGGAAGTCCTCACTCGAGATAGAAGTCCTAAGGATCATTTCTTGGGTCACCGCTTTGATTTAATATACAGTTAACTCGAGTACCCAACTGTCTCATGTAATACCACGTTATATAATAAAAATTTACAAACTTTTTGTATGATTGATGGGAATTAGTCTGACATTAATGTGTACTAGAGAACAAATTAGATTGATTGGATACAGATTAAAGATTGGAAGTCGTCACTCGAGATAGAAATCCTATAGATCATTTCTTGGGTCACCAGCTTTGGTTTAATATACAGTTTAACCTAGTATTAAAAAAATACGTTACTATCTCATGTAATACTACATTATACAATACAAACTTACAAACTTTTTGCATGATGGACGAGAATTAATCTGACGTCAATGTATACTAAATGACAACTTAATTTGACTGAATTGGACGCTACGTGTGAATATCACTCCAAATGACATTCTACTATTAGATCGGGTCATTATGGTGTACTTGGTCGATCTAAGTCTTTCATATTATATTAAAAAATACTTTTCCGGTTTTTCTAGGATTACATGCACATGATTACCATGCACTACCATGCACTAGTCTGACGGTGTCTATAAATATTAAGCCCTAAGATACAAGCTGAACACGCATTCTCCTAAAATCCCAAATCAATTAAGCAAACAGAATACTGATGAAGTTTCTTTGGGTTGTACTACTCATCACCCTTTCTGCACTTGGGGAGGGAAACACAACCCCCAACCAAGCATGCAACCCCAACGACCTCAAAGGCCTAAGCAATTTCAAGGCTGGGATTCCCATCGACACCTCCGGCCGCCTAGCGATGTGGGTTGGCGGCGGTTGCTGCGAGTGACAAGGCATTACTTGTGACAACAGGACCGGCAGAGTGATTGGAATCAGCCTTCCAGGGTGGATCACAAAAGATGATGAACCTTTCCTCGCCCGTATGGTAGGCACTCTCTCTCCTTCAATAAATCTCATTTCATTCCTTGAAGTCCTGAATCTTGGTGAGAACTCTGACCTCACCGGAAACATCCCAGAACTCATCCTTCCGAACCTCCAAAGGCTTTACCTCTATTCAAACAGTTTCTATGGACCTGTGCCTGATTCAATTGCAAGCTTGACGCGTTTAGTAAGTCTGGATCTTCATAACAACTCTCTGAGTGGTCACATACCGCAGGGAATTGGTCAATTGCAAGTCTTGCAAGACCTTGATTTTTCAAACAATTTTTTGTCTGGTAAACTTCCCTCTTCCATGGCTAATCTGTCTGCCATTAGAAATCTAGGGTTGGACTCTAATTTTCTTGAGGGGCCAATTACATTTCTGTCGATCTCTCCGAAAATGTCTCATCTCCGGCTTATAAGGCTGCAGGATAATAGTCTTACTGGAAAAATTCCAAAATTCATTGGCCAACTCCCACAGCTTGAACACCTCCTCCTTTCTCGGAATATGATTGAAGGACCACTCCCTTCTGAGATGTCTTCTCTTAAACATCTCGAAACACTCGATGTTTCTTTCAACCCATTGAGGCTCTCTGCCATCCCGAAATGGCTCCCAGAGTTACCGTCACTTCTTCGGATTTTCTTGGCGGGGTGCGAAATCCAGGGAGAAATTCCAGAGCTCTTTCCAAGTGCAATACAAGAATTGGACTTATCAGTCAACAATCTCACCGGAAGCATTCCTACACGCTTTGGAGATGAAAACTTTCAAATGCTCTTCTCATTGAACCTATCCAAGAACGCACTCGTTTCAAACATCCCCGAGTCAATTGGAAACTTGAAAAGGTTGATATGGCTTGACCTTCACGCCAACAAACTATCTTCCAACTTACCAGAGGCGTTGGGAAATCTGATCAAGCTGACCAAGCTCGAGCTGCAGCAAAACCAGTTTTCCGGAACAATTCCAAACAAGTTTTTGAAGCTGAAGGATTTGTGGAAATTTGATGTATCGGACAATCTTCTGGAGGGGAAAATCCCGGAAGGCAAACCATACAGTGACTTCCCGAAAAGCTCCTACTCCGGAAACAAAGGCTTATGCGGAAAGCCTCTCCCTCCCTGTAAGAAGACTTGAAGGCCTCCTATCTACGTAACTAAATAACTTTTCTTTCGTTCATGCTCAGGTTTATGGTACGTTAAATATTAAGCATCGGCATTTAAGTAGTTAGAAAACTGAAGGATGCTTGTTGCCTCAGTTCACTGGAGATTATGAGTCTATAAAACTACACAAAAGATGACACAATTTCTTCTTGATTTGAAGTGTATTAATGGTTAAATACGAGATTTACATTGTCCCATCATTTACAGGGTGTCAAAGGGGATCTTGGATCAACCCTAGTCGGTGGTAGTTCATGTAGTCAATTCCGTTTAATCGTATACAACATAAGATCTGCTCCGGCAACTCTTCGGGTTTGTTTCCCTGTTTCGAAATGCAAATATAAGATATAGATGAACAACTCCAAAAGGCCAGCAAAAGAAAGAATTAAGGGATTGATAATGGAAGTTTAACTTGCTACTGGGAAAAATTACCTGAATCGTGAGCCCGACATCCAAAATGCAGTGCTTCAGTCTATCTAGGAACGCTTCAAACCCTTTCCTAGAGATATAACTAAATCTGTGCATATCCAAATCAATCTCGAGGTAGTTTTCTCCCTGAAATCCATTACAGTTAGCAAGAAAAGAAACACTTAAGAAGCCATATAAATCGAAGGCGAATTTTGAAGACTGAAGTCAAAAATTAAAGTAATCCAGACAGGCTCACCATGTAAAATTCATGTTGAGGACGAGAAAGAACCGGCTTTTCATTGTAAGCCTGCATAAGTTTCCGCTCTGGTGCACTCAAGTGAAGATCTTCCACATTAGCAACACGTCCCAAAATTTTCAACCGTTCTCGAAAGGATGCAATTGTGTCCACAGGAAAACCTTTGACCTTTTCTACTTCATCGTCAATTACCCTCTGGCATGAAAATAGGCATGAGCGTGAATTAAAAAAAAGTTTACGCAATCTGCTGGGATGAATCACCCAGCATCATCTCTGATGGAAAAGATATTTCCAAAACAAAAGGTTCGGTATGAAATGGGACTACAACAAAAACTTCAAAAGGCTCCATCTTACTCTGATATTTTCTTGAAAATTAGGTGGAAGTTCTTTAACGTACATATCGTTAACCTTAAAGTACAAAACAAAATTCATTCCTTCTCCATCCGTCTCACCCTGAAAAATTGCGGCAGGATACAAGGGTACCTGTAGAATCAATGAGAAGGACATTTTTTAACATCTGAATAAGTTTTACACATATCTAGAAAGCAATATCAACTGAATCTCATTAACTAGCCAGAAGGTATCTAAACTAACTACTCATCTTGAACTCAATTTGAGACCTAGCCTGAAAATTGTTGTCACAGGTGGCAGGGTACAAGTCCTCAACCGTTACACCTTATTGGTTATTATTCAACTTATATTCTGAATCCGAGCTGGATAGTCTGAATCCGCACAAGGAGTTAAGTTGTCGTAGGCGCTTAAAAATTATATTACCTGACAAATTTAAAGATGGACAACTGTGCAGACAGAGAGCAATACGAAAGGAGAGAGGCGGGGGGAGGAGAGAGAGATCAAACTTACCTGTACATTTACAACAAGAACAGCAGGAAGATCTCCAGAAGAATTAACAACAGGCAGTTCCACAAAGCGAGCTATATGATCTATTTTTCGCTGAGATAAAAATACATCAAGACCAAATGGATAATATGCAGCATAGCTGGGAGCATGCTCCTTCTTTCTGTCCCTGCAATACACAGGTAAATCTCAAATTTTGAATATAGTGAATCTTATATGTTAATGGATGCCAATTACGATCAATATTTTACTACTGATTATTTTAATATAAAAAAGTGTGAATGTAGCCCTATATGAATGTACATATGTACATGTACAAGTTCTCAAACTAAATGAACACTTTACTCTGCGAATCTTACCTAAAGTAATTCGGCCCCCGAACTTTGAAAGAATTTGGCTCAATATGTGACCAGGAATCAAACATTTTCTTATCTATAGGGCAAAAAGGAACTTGAGAACCTGCTATTGGTCTTTGCAGAAGCATCTTCGAGGAAACTGGAAATATGCGTAAAAAAACAAAAGGTTAAAGGAATTACAATTGGATATGTTTACACTAGACTAAAGAGTCGGAATGCTTACAATGTATGAACGCTAAGAACTACCATCAAACAATATAACATTTACTTAACTAACAATCTACGACCAATTTAGGGAATAACCAAGAGAGATACTACTCAACAAAGTAGGATGATGAGAATAACGAAAATTTACTACAAGATTATATGGTTGCTGTAGATGACAGTAAATCTTAAAGGAATAAGCGGCGCAAGGACAGGTTTCATGAATAACAAGGCTGCGGCTAAAGACTAAAGAAAATGCACACTCAAAATAATAATGATGGCAAAGAAATGAATCCCATGCTTGTTTACCATTTGCATGCCATATTAGCTTATCAAAAGATAGTTCTAGTTCTTACATAAACTTGCATTGGGATGTCCTTCTTTCCATTTAAAGGGAAGTTTTATGGCAGCTTTTTTCCTTGCACTTGGTGGGCTAGAACTCAGTGACCTTCTCTTTTCAACAGGGGGAACAGTTGAAGCAAGAAAAGGCAGACAGGTGCTTGGAAGAATCCCACAATTGTCCAATATTCCTTCCTCCTTGGGAGAAGATTCATCGACAGAGGAGGATATTTCATCGAGGAACACAGGTTGATTTGCTTCAGTTGTCGAATGTCCATCAACATTATTAGCATTCACGATATGATTATTGCTCTTTTGAGAAACCACACTGACAGGGTTGTTTGCAGAATCCCCTGGTTTATGTATCTGATCAGTAGAGGAGGCATGCAGGTCATTAACATTATACTGTTCACAATTGGCATCTCTTACTGACGAATTGCTTGATACGGACACGCGTTCAAATCCATTTAGAGATAACACCTCTGCAAATAAAGATATTTTAGTAATTCAAACCTAAAGACATCAAATTAAGAAAAAAATTGAAAAACAATACAATATCACTGAAATTAGACATCGGTAAAACTTTACCATCCTGAACACTATGGAAATCTTCATCGCATTCTTCGGACTCAAATATTGCAACCGGATCAAACCATGCGTCCTCACTACTTTCTGCGGACGCCATCATATTTTTAACGATAATCAGAAACTATGGACATAGAGGAAATTACAGTACAATGCAATTTGAGAATTACAGTGTTAAGAAAAACAAAAATGCCACCAAAACCCTGACTAGTTTGTCACTAAAAAACTAAGACAACACAATTTTCAGCAGCAACAAATGCACAAGCAATTGCTTCTTGCTGCATATCAAGCATCAACCAACTCCAAGACAGATTTTCGGAGACGGATTCACATAAAGACTCTACCTTTTCCAGAAAATCATAGCTTAAATTAAAAAATTGGTGGTTCTCAAAGAAAATTATAGCTTGTTCTGCGGTCAATTGCTCTATCTCAATTATGAGGTTCTTAATTAGTATCTTAATTACTCACATTATTTTAATTATCAAGAAAATTACTCTCAAGAAAGCTCAAATTTTCCCATAAACAATACAATTCAGCCAAACAAGAAAATCCCAGAACTAAATTCCAGAAAATAACTCAGTTCCAAACAAAAAGGTCCAAAATTTCATCATTTTACAACTTCTAATAACAGAGCATTCTAGAGAGAGATGAAAAAATGGACCTTGGAAAGTGGGGTTGTTGAACGTGGAGCGATCAGGCGGGACGGACCGATCAAACTTGTCCGGCGATCCCTCCGAAAATCGACCGGCCCGACCCGGAGACTGTTTAGCCCGCCCGTCTCTCCTCCTCTTCCGGGTCCTCTTCCGCTTCGACGAGCTCAGTCTCCCTCCGACGCACCCCTCCGGCTTCGACACGCACGCCCCCATAACCCCTTCCCTCCCTCACTCTCCGGCTCAGATATCAACAAAACAACCGTCGCCAATTCACCATAACATAATTATAGAGAGAGAGAGAGAGAGAAACAAGAGAGAGAAAGAAAGTGAGCTGGAAGGAGTTATCGTTTGTTTGTTGGTTGTTGGTTTTTTTGTTTGTTGGAAGCAAAAGGTTGAGGCGGAAGGTTTAATGGCGGGCAGAGTCAAATAAAAGGAAGGACAAAGGTGGGAGGGAGGCAGCGAGCGACGGCGTTAAGGCATCTCTAAACAGGTGGGTGGTGGGGTTGGGGGCGGGACCCGCGACCAAAATGATTTGACACGTGGCGCTATGTGGTTTTACCTGACCCGGGAACGTGTGGGTATTCACCGTCTCTGTGGGATCTCTGTGTGTGTTTCGACGCTGCCGTTCAGCTTACGTTGTCCCGTAATTTTACGTTGAACGTTGTGATGTTGAACTCACGTAAATAACGAGTTTGATTTATTTATAACTGAATTAATGTGGAAATTAGTTTTAAGTATCGCTTCCTCATATCGTTGTATTAAAAGAAACACGTTACAATAACTTGATTAGGTCTCTCTTCAACCACATCTCATATACAAGTATAAGATTATTTATTTTGATCCCATCTGACTATAAGTAGCCCTTAAATCTTGTCACTCAATAGTGCATGCCACGTATAATAACGTCTTATAATTTATACGTAAACATAAATATCTAACTATAAAAATAAATTATTTTTAACGGTAAGGATTGAAGCAGTATTCTTTGTTCCATTTGATTTTTTTTTCCTTTCCGCTCTAATAACGAGTCCAACGAAACGTCGTAGTCTCATAGATAATATATAGTTGTGCTACAGTTCCTCGACAATTACCCTAAGGTCGGCTGTCCTGTATCTACCAGCATCATTTGTCATCTTAAATCATAAATAATAATATTATTAGAAAAAATTAAAAAAAAAATCATTTGTTATTTTAATTATAAATAATATTATTATCATCTCTTAATAACATAGGAAAAGAGAAAGAAAAATAGATAAAGGAGAAACAAACAAAAACGGAAACCCATTTTAATATTTTAACCTTTTGTTTTGTTTTGTCCACTCATTCTTCACCTATCAAAATTGATTTTTTCCCTCCTCTAAAAGATGAAAGATTTGCTTTTGATACTCGATAAATAAAATATAAATTAAAATAAAATCCATGCTTTTATCGTTTTATTTTATGTTTGCAATTGTATAATATTATAGCGGTGTTATCCACACATTACATTTTAATTTTTACATATCTTTCATAATTTCCAACTTTCGAATCAAATAAACTAGAGAGGATCAAAGGATAAAATTAAACAAGACATTGTGTAAAAGGTAAAAAAATGTGTAGATAACACAATCTAATATTATGCTCACTTATACAATTTTGTTCTTTATATTTGTGAGCATGCAGAGCAAAAATGTAATTTGCACGGTGAAGAAAAATTATTGTAATATTTTAGTTTATTGTACCAAGACATTAATTTTAAATTTTATTGTACCAAACCATTAATTCTTTATTTATTATTCAAGGTCAAATTGTTCAATATAAATTTTTAGTTGAATAAACTTTTGTATCATAAATAATATTAACAACGGCATTAAGATTGTTTATCTTCTTTTATTCGAAAAGTTTTCGTTTTAACTTTTTTGTTTTATATAAAAAAAAATTGAATAATTGCAAGTGGTCTTTTACCACTGTAGTAAATGAACTGAGCTCTTGCATGACAGCATGAATTTGAATCTCATATATAGCTAATATAACCTCTAATTTAACAAAATGTATAATTTGACAAAAAAAAAATTGAATAATTAATCTTGAAAAGTACAACCCATGTCACTCATTTTAAATGTATTATATGCACTGATAAAATATCTAAATTACCAGTCATATAATACACATTTCACTTTCGAGTTTGGTACTAAATTAAATATTTTTTAATAAAATAAATAAAAAACATGTGCATTGAAAAATAAAAAATAAAAACAAGATACAAATATAAAAGGACATGTAATGCTAAAGAAATTAAATTTGTATATAAAGTTTTAGAAATTAAAAAACATAAAAGTTGATGATTGATTTATTACTTAAACGTTGATAAATGTGTTTATTTCAATTAGTTACACATCATTTAATTTGTAAATTTAACCTCTAGCATTATTCATAAAAGGACATGTTGGATGGAAGACTAGTCTACTGCCATATATTGTGGCGTGGGTGACGTGGCGGGGGCCCACGTGGCAGCTGTGAAGAGAGTTTTAAACCAATAAGCAAATAATCAAATAATGAATTACAAAGGTCGACACGAAACACTAAAATTAGTAAACTCCATGATGAACGTTCGTGCATGTCCCGGATAGCAACAGCTTTAAAAACTTGAAATGTTTATTCGGCAGTATTTTAAAAATAACTGAAAATGTTTTTTGTGAAAGTGATTTTAAAGTCAATTTTCAATAAAAATTCAAATATATTATATAAAATCACTTGAAATCCTTCCTAAAAAAAAACACATAACCGGTGTTTTTTACAAAAAATGCTTGAACTACTTCTAAGACCGAAAAGCATTTTCACTAAAAATGTATTCAATTATTTTAAAGATATTTCCAAAAAAAGGTCATAATGATACTGTATCATCAATTTTTCTAGAAGATGAACAACAAGAAGATATTTGACACAGGATATATGGGACCTTTGCCTTAGGTGGTGGGGATTGGGACTGGGAATGCCCTGCACGTCCTTCAAATGCTTTGCTTGCCACAACTATTTCATCAATCAATTCCCACACCTTTGAAAATTGAATTTAGTGAGAGAAATTAGCTTTTGTTTCATGTAATGACGGAACCAGAATTCAATGTTTAAGAAAATCATTATATTGATTTTTAAATTCTATTATGCAAATGCAGTAAAATATATCACACAGGTCGCAAATTTAAAACATTTTATGTCACTTCATATTTTTTATAATATTAACATGATAATAAATATTAAATTATGATGTAACAAATAGTTCGTAAAAATTCATAAGAGTCAGAATAGCATTTCCATTGAAAATAATATTGGAGTGCGCGTTACTCCAAAAGATTTAGGTGGGTCTATCTGCCCCATCGACGACAAGCTGGATAAAGCCTGAACATTTTGTTTGCTTCCATCTACTTTATCCTTTGGGATCAACTTTTTTTTAGTCTTACACGGATTCGAAATTTATGGAAGCACGGAAATTGAAAATTAATATTTGGACATACAATTTACATAATTCCTACCAACCTAAACATAGAATCAAGTTATTTTAACGTATTTAGAACGGATTATTCTATTGTTGTTAGAAAACCATTTAATCTTTTCAAAAGCAATTTTAAACAAGAATCGACCTCAATCTCTTACGACTTTTACACATGATTTATGCGTGGGTATGTAATGTATCCAAATCTCCACAACCAAAGTAAAAGAAAGGAATAAAATCTCTACAACCAAAGAGATAAGAAAACAAGTGAAAGTTCAAAGGGAATGGCCGTATCACATTCATATGGCCAAACCAAAGTTGACCAATGTTAAAGTTAGGGGAGGGGCCATTAATTGTCATCTGGGAAGTAGTTAAGTCGTTGATTCACGTGCCGTCCAGGTAAATCTGCACGCCAACTTATGTTGCATCTAGGTTTTACTTTCGGTACGTCTTATTACAAACACCGATCCAACAATCTTCACACTTCGTACATCGCCCATGAACCCATCATTTCATCAACATATGATTTACTAATACCTTCGGAGGGAGGACGAGAGAAACCTAAATGCAATTTTAACATAGCAATATTTAAACTTATCACATATAGTTATGTATTTTAATCTGTACACGTAACATCATGCAATAAATTTGTAATATCATCACTTTAATATCTTAGTTACATCTAAGTCCTCTTTAAACGAGTTAATTGCTCAACTACATGAATTTCTGGTATCTTCAATATCATCACCCTAACGTCTTAGACCATCTTCAAAGGAGATGTCGAATTTTGAACATAAAATTTAAATTTTGACATCTTATGTGGCACTTTCATATCTTTTAAAGTTTTGTTCTCCAACCAAGATATCAAATTAAATTATTATTTTATTATTTTATAAAATAAATTATTAAACTAATTAAAATTTAATAAAGAACTTTTAAAGTTTAATCAGTAATATGTTCATCCTCCTTAATTGAAAAGAAGAAAAAAGTAGGATAATTGTATAAGTCAACTCAACATTAATTATAATAAATGATTAAACTAATTAAAATTTAATAATTAATTAAAAATTACATTTGAAGCTGCTGTCAAATTTGACGGCAACCTCTTTTGATGTCAATCCATGTCATCGTCACATAAGATTTGGTACTTCGGTTAAAGAATATTAGTATCGTCTTTTTTTACTGTTATAGCTAATGTGTACATTTTAGCATGCTCTTAGTCACAATTTGTAAGGTTGGGTATCCCTAATGAATTTTGTAACAATGGTCATCAAATTCAACTTAACATTGTTGTCTCCAAGGAAAACCAGACAACTGGAGTTTAAAATATATAACTTCCTAGGCTTGGATTTTATAACATTATCGCCGAGCTCATAGATTAGGATTTGAATTTGAAACTAATAATAATATAAAAAATATTTTAAAAAATGGAAAGGAAAAAAAAACCAAAGAAGAAATACATGGTCAGCCCGAAAATTAATCAAGGTGGGCTGAAGCCACCATGGTCCAACCTGTTCTACATCTACAACATGAACATTTTAAGAAGAAAATGCGTCGACGTTAGGAGAAAAACTTGACGATTACCTATTTGCTGAAGAAGCTGTGTGGTGGGAGGATCAGTGTAAGCAGAACAATATACAGCATGCTCCAATTGCAACGCCCAAATCTTGGTAATCCTTGAGATTTTAAGATTATGCTTTAGTCTCTTGCATGCTCGTACTTGTATGCTTGTAAACTTTAGTCAAATGTTTAAAATGATAAGGTGGGACTCCCACCGTGGGAGTGTAGACGAACCTAATTCGGAATGTGTAAGGCTTCATCTTGGGTTGTTGAGCACTCTGAATCTATATGCATTGATATTGTGCAATTATCCTGATCATTAGATTACGCAAGAAAGAAATCGATCAATCCGTTTGAGCTGATTGCTAATGCATTAGAAGAATTAGACAAGATTACTAATCATCACAAGTATTCACTGAGAAAACAGATTGTAGGCCAACTCCGTAACTTTCTATCACTTACTGAGATACCTAGAACAGTAGCTTCCAATTGAGGTTTTGAGGAAGCCGACTGTGGGGAACAACAGTTAAACTGCCAGTGCAATGTTAAACAAGATTATTCAATGCAGAATGACCAATCGATGAGTTTTTCAATTTACAACCAGTAAAATTCACTTGCCTCTGACACGCATGAGTCCAAGTTATTGTTCTCTTGTAAGTTGTTCCCAGCTGACTTGCACTTTTGAGATAGATGTGAAGCTGCAAGTTTTTAAAATGTCCATATAAGTAGAGTACATGTAAACATCAACTCTCAACTTTCTTTCTCTTAGAAAGAATAAGTGAAGTAAAGCAGCCCTCGGAAGCAAATTTGTTTGCATCGAACATGGTATTTGAAGTGAGACAATATCTTCACTCACAGTGAGTGTATCATTTTCTTTTTTGATAAGCAAGTGTATCATTTTCTGATACATGAGATTCTAGAAGCAGAAAGGTTTTCATGACAAACCTGTATTTCCTCCGTCGCCAGACCCGTAAGCCTTTTCTTGAGATTTTCCTGTATATTTCTGGACTGCATCTTCAATCCTGGAAAGTTAATAACAATGTTAAGTAAAAATTAATGAAAAACCACCCATTGTGCATCATTGCATTTGTTTATGATCTCCGATAAGAACATATCTCTGCAATCAAGCATTCCTGTTTTCTACAACTTATGCGTAGATGGTAAGAGTATGAGCACTACCTATTATCTTCCTTTGTCAAAATCATATTGCATCCTCCTTGGTGTTCCAGAATTGAGGAAAATACCCCTTTGCCCTGAAAAATAAATTGACGACAGCACCCACAAGGAAGCAATGAGTGTCTTCACTAGAAGATCAATCAGAAGATGTTGGGGAAAGTTCTACATGCATCACAAGAGGCAAAACCATAAAACTTAAGAAGTCACACCATGTATCCATATACATTATATGTTAAATTGTTAATTGACCAATTGGAAATGTGGCGTTCAATAAAACTTTGAATGTGAATTCATCAAGTGAAAGCATGGCAGGTTAAACCTAAAATTAAACTTTTTCTACCTCTTCATTCATACTTTTAACAGTGTCTTGAATCCTCCTTAAGATAATCCCCAAACTTCCAACTTCAAAATGCAATGCCTGATCATGGAGTTCATCAAGTAAGTTTAGAAGTCAATAGCAGAACTCGGTAAGGTCTAGACAAAAACAAAAACAATATGAAATTTAGACCTGTTTTTCTGAAATCAAATTCTGTATGACCGCATCCTTTGCTGATATAACTTTCTGAAGGTAAGGGTGGTTAAGAAGACATTGATAAGAAAATTTTTGGCTAAAACAGTAGACTAGTTTTACGAATCAATCGAACAAATGAATCTCTGATGCATGGATATATCTTCTATTTGTGTGTGGCTTGTATTACAAATTTTTGCTGCCTCCATCTGAGCTTCTAGTTCTGAGATGGCTTTATCCTTTCTCCTAGTCTCGTCTTCATAATTTTTTAGTTTGTTTTCCAGGTCACTGATCTTTTCTGCATAAATTAGTACATGGTCAATAAATTATTAGTGGTTTCAAATTTAACCTTTCCTTCAACAATTTAATAACGTAATTTACAACATCGAAGAATTGATATATAATGATAACTTGGAGTTACCAATAAATACTTGCTCTAACGTGGAAACAGTATCCAATTTGCTCTTTAAGCCTGCCACTGTGAACAAAGCAGTGAGTTAGGAGGAATCTGACGCTGCAACTTCAAATGGAATATAAGCATACAGTAACAATTTAAAATGTTGCTTGCCTACTTCCTCTTTCTCACTAACAACGCGTTGCACATTATCCACGACTTTCTTTACCAAAATTGCCTCCTTTTCTATTGAATCGAATAGCAAAAGATGAGATTTTATCTTCTCAGATACGAAAGCAAGCTTTCTGTCCCTGCATTGAATCGAGCGTTTCATTTCACAAGTGGATTCCTAAACATGAACATGACACCAGTGAGTCATATTTCGGTTAAATAGGTTCGATACAAATTCATCGTGGGATCAAAAACCACTGACAACATTGCATGGTAATCTCTCTCGATGTCATAATTCCCACGAACCTGATAAGCGTTGACAAAATTTTCCCTGGACTGCAGTAGGTTATGAATCGTTCCCTTCAACTCCTTTTGCCTGTTCTCGAGCATAGAATTGTCACTCTGAAGATAACTCACCTGCAAGAACAAGATTCGAAATACAAAAAACAGCTCAATTAAAACCAAATTTGGCTGTGATCTCTAACAAGCATTTCAACAAACACCTTCACCGCAAACATAAACAATTACATAATCCCACAAACCTCTCTTTCGAGTTTCTGTCGCAGCTCATTGGAGTAAGCCAATTCCGCCAGCAATTCCTGCAACTTCCTGCCGCATTCTTCCTCGGTTTGCTTTTGTTTCTGTATCCAAACACTCCGTCAATACGAACAAGTAAACTCAAATTGCAATCGGAGAGCAGCGATTGTTTTTAAAGGGAAACCTGAATAAGAAGACAGAGCTGTTCGGCGGCGGAGCGTTCCCTTTCCTGAATGTGTGAATTCATAAAGAACGGTGAGGGAAAGGGAGATAATGGAGGTGGCGGCGATGAGAAATCTTACTCGGAGTTCTTGGACATCGGAGATCAGAGTTTGAAGCTGGAGCTTGAATTTGGAGAATTTCAGCAACTCCATTTCCGTCTAGTGTAAAATAATAAAATTGTTTGGATGGCCGCCGGAAAAATGGCCTTCACCGCTTTTAATTCGCATTTGATTTTCCCGCCACTGAAATTTCGCGTCTTTTTTTTTTTTTTTTTTTACGGTTTTTTCGTTTTACCTCTCATTTGACGCGAAATTTAACTTTTAAAAATCATCTAACTGTTAAAAATAATCCAAGTTTTAATTAATTACCTTATTGAAAAATTAGTTGAAGTGTGAACTCTCTCTCTTCTTTTATATATTAAACCAACATATGGGCACACACAAAATGTGTGTCATAATTTTGTATTTTTGTTTTTTAAATGGAAGGAGAGAGGGAGGGAGAGGGAGAGAGGGATGGGAAGAGTGGGGAGAGAGCATTGCTTTTGGTGAGTAAATTGTAGTAATTGTCTTTTAACTTTAATTAAATTGGAGCAATGACCTCTCAACTAAAAATCTCTTACCGTTGGTCTCTCAACTCATCAAAATGTGTAGCTATGGTCCATTTCGTCAACTCCATCAAAATTCTATCAAAATGAGTTATGTTGGAATGACCACTGTTACAATTGTGTTAAAATTAAGAGACCATTGCTCCAATTGGATTAAAGTTGAAGGACCATTTCTTTAGTTGAATTAAAGTTGAGAGACCATTGATACAATTTTTCATATTTGCTTCTTGATTTAGCCTCACGTGCATGACACATGACTCATTTGACAGAAGTTTTAACAGAGTTGACAAAATGATCATAGATGCACGATTTGATGAATTGAGGGATCAATGGTAATAGATTTTTAGTTGATGGATTATTGCTACAATTTACTCTTTTATTTTTTTTTAATTAAAAATGTGTTAGAATCACGTGTAGCCGTGTAGGTGAGGTATTGAAATAAATAAATAAATAAATAAGCAAAATGTTGGTTGTGTGAAATTACATTATTGCCCACAGTTCCTATTTATGTTCAATTTTACTTAGAGGGTTAGGATGATAATTTCATGGGCTTTTAGTCGACAATGAAAATTTTATTAATATTTAGATATCTAGATAATTATTACAAAAATAATAATAATGCATGCATCTTTCATGGCAAACTTACTTGATAAATAATCGAAATTATTTACTCTTTATTATCATCTAAAGATTACATATGTAAAAAATTATTCACCTCGAAAATTTTTTAGTCATTCAGATGCATAAAACAAATTGACCGCTCATTATAGGGATGCTACTTGATACCAAAATCGTTAATTGTCTTAACATGTACGGATGACTAAAAGATTTTGAAATTGAATGATTTTTTTGCAGAAAATGGATTGGGTAATTTGAATGTTTATACTCTCAACCCTCGATCAATTTGGCCAATTAATCTTATCGTCGACTGCTTTGAATGTTTTTGTAGTGCACAGCTACCTAGCACCAGATAAAATACTGGACACATTTGACAGTTGTGTCTGAAATTAGTGTCCAAATAGGGTCGCAAAGATGATGAAAAAACGTTAATGTAGTGCAGCTAAGCACGAGCTGTTTTCTTCTTTTTTTTTCATTTTTTTCATTTTTTTTCATTTCTTTTTTTAAAGAATTCAATACTATCGTACAAGAATTGGACAGTGTGAATTCAAGGTATAACAATAAAAGTAAAAATTCAAATCAATTTAGGTCATTCAATAGTTGTAGCATTTAATGTTTCATAGCACAGATTAATTTTTCTCCCTTTTGTTAATGTCAAGAGAAATTTTTCTTACCCTTAATGAACCGATTACCAAAATGATACAAGGGTGTGTTAAGATTGTTTATGAAATTGTCAAAAGTATTTTGTACAATCTAAAAGTGTTTCTTGTTACTTTTGACCAAGAAAGAACTACGTTTGGCATAACACCTGAAAACAGTTGTCGGTGGTAGAAGTGCTTTCTGAAAAATCACTTATTAAGTGTTTCAAATAGATTTTCAAGAAATACTTTGATTTCTAATAGAAACTTTTACATGTTTACAATAAGAAGCCCAAAAAGCATTTATCAGCATAAGACTGGACCAAGGACATCTATGAGAAGACCTAGCAACGTTTATACATTTCGTAAGAATATTTTCAACAAAAAATTTGGAACGAATAAAAACGCTTTCAAAAAACTAAATCAAATTCCCAAACATACCCTAAGATTGTAACACATGCTTTATGCATGGAACTTGTCAAATTTCATCAATTTTTCCTTTTCCCATAATTAAGATTTTGCACAGAAAATACATTTTGAATAACATGAACAGTGATAATTTGTTGTTATGGTATGGAAAACCAGAGAAAATTTTATCAAAAATTAATTAAAAATTTGAAAATGAAGGATCGGTAAGAAGATAGCGATTTTAATAAGAGTATATCGTTAGAAAGATAGCGAAGATACGCCGAGAGGTTCGGTATGATTCTAGCAACAATCAATTGCAGGGACGTTGCTAGCGTTAAAGCGACCTCCGACCGTGACAATCGCTAAATTATTACCGATCCTTCATTTTCAATTTAAAAATAAATAAATTTGTTAAATTTTTCTTTTGTTTCCTTTACCATAACAACAACTTATGTTGCATCTAGGTTTTACTTTCTGTACGTCTTATTACAAACACCGATCCAATAATCTTCACACTTCATACATCGCCCATGAACATGAACCCATCATTTCATCAACATATGATTTACTAATACCTTCGGAGGGAGGACGAGAAACCTAAATGCAATTTTAACGTAGCAATATTTAAGTTTATCACGGATAATTATATACTTTAATATGTACACGTAACAGCATGCAATTAATTTGTAATAACATCACTCTAACATCTTAGTTACATGTAAGTCCTCTTTAAAAATGAATTATTTGCTCTACTACATGAATTTTTGGTATCTTCGATATCATCACCTTAACGTCTTAGACCATTTCCAAAGGAGATTTCAAATTTTGAACATAAAATTTAAATTTTGACAACTTATGTGTCACTTTGACATCTTTTAAAGTTTTGTTCTTCAAATGATATGTCAAATTAAATTATTAAATTATTATTTTATAAAATAAATTATTAAATTAATTAAAATTTAATAAAAAACATTTAAAGTTTAATCAATAATCTGTTTACCTTCCTAGATTGAAAAGGAGAAAAAAGTAGGATAATTACATCGGTCAGCTCAACATTAATTATAAAAAATGATTAAACTAATTAAAATTTAATAAAATACATTTAATAATTAATAAAAAAAACATTTGAAGTTGCTGTCAAATTTGACAGCAACCTCTTTTGATGCCAATTCATGTCATTGCCACATATGATTTGGCACTTCAGTTGGAGAATATTAGTATGTTTTTTTTTACTATTATAGCTGATGTGTACATATTAACATGCTCTTAGTCACAATTTGTAAGGTTGGGTATCCCTAATGAATTTTGTGACAATGGTCATCAAATTCAACTTAACATTGTTGTCTCCAAGGAAAACCAGACAACTGGAGTTTAAAATATATAACTTCCTAGGCTTGGATTTTATAATAGTATCGCTGAGCTCATAGATTAGGATTTGAATTTGAAACTAATAATAATATAAAAATATATATATAAAAAATGGAAAGAAAAAAAACTAAAGAAGAAATAGTTGAAGCACTTGACATTGCATGGTCAGCCCAAAAATTAATCAAGGTGGGCTGAAGCCACCATGGTCCAACCTGTTCTACATCTACAACATGAACATTTTAAGAAGAAAACGCGTCGACGTTGGGAGAAAAACTTGAGGAGTGCCCGACACGAGTTCAGGGCCTACCTAAGTTTCTCTCCCAAGATGGTTATATAAAATTTACCTATTTGCTGAAGAAGCTGTGTGGTGGAAGGATCAGTGTGAGCAGAACAATATACAGCATGCTCCAATTGCAACTCCCAAATCTTGGTAATCCTTGAGATTTTAAGATTATGCTTTAGTCTCTTGCATCCTCCTACTTATATGCTTGTAAACTTTAATCAAATGGTTAAAATGATAAGGTGGGAGTCTAGACGAACCTAATTCGGAGCATGTGAGGCTTCATCTTGGGTTGTTGAGCACTCTGAATCTATACGCATTGATATTGTGCAATTATCCTGACCATTAGATTACGCAAGAAAGAAATCGATCAATCCGTTTGAGCTGATTGCTAATGCATTAGAAGAATTAGACAAGATTACTAATTATCACAAGTTTCACTGAGAAAACAGATTGTAGGTCAACTCCGTACCTTTCTATCACTTACTGAGATACTTAGAACAGTAGCTTCCAATTGAGGTTTTGAGGAAGCCGACTGTGGGGAACAACAGTTAAACTGCCAGTGCAATGTTAAACAAGATTATTCAATGCAGAATGACCAATCGATGAGTTTTTCAATTTACAACCAGTAAAATTCACTTGCCTCTGACACGCATGAGTCCAAGTTATTGTTCTCTTGTAAGTTGTTCCCAGCTGACTTGCACTTTTGAGATAGATGTGAAGCTGCAAGTTTTTGAAATGTCCATATAAGTGGAGTACATGTATACTTCAACTCTCAACTTTCTTTCTCTTAGAAAGAATAAGTGAAGTAAAGCAACCCTCGGAAGCAAAATTGTTTGCATCGAACATGGTATTTGAAGTGAGACAACATCTTCACTCACAGTGAGTGTATCATTTTCTGATACATGAGGTTCTAGAAGCAGAAAGGTTTTCATGACAAACCTGTATTTCTTCCATCGCCAGACCCGTAAGCCTTTTCTTGAGATTTTCCTGTATATTTCTGGACTGCATCTTCAATCCTGGAAAGTTAATAACAATGTTAAGTAAAAATTAATGAAAAACCACCCACTGTGCATCATTGCATTTGTTTATGATCTCTGATAAGAACGTATCTCTGCAATCAAGCATTCCTGTTTTCTACAACTTATGCATAGATGGTAAGAGTATGAGCACTACCTATTATCTTCCTTTGTCAAAATCATATTGCATCCTCCTTGGTGTTCCAGAATTGAGGAAAATACCCCTTTGTCCTGAAAAATAAATTGACGACAGTTCCCACAAGGAAGCAATGAGTGTCTTCACTGGAAGATCAATCAGAAGATGTTGGGGAAAGTTCTAAATGCATCACAAGAGGCAAAACCATAAAACTTAAGAAATCACACCATGTATCCATATACATTATATGTTAAATTGTTAATTGACCAATTGGAAATGTGGCGTTCAATAAAACTTTGAATGTGAATTCATTGAGTGAAAGCATGGCAGGTTAAACCTAAACTGAAACTTTTAAAACCAAACTGAAACTTTTTCTACCTCTTCATTCATACTTTTAACAGTGTCTTGAATCCTCCTTAAGATAATCCCCAAACTTCCAACTTCAAAATGCAATGCCTGATCATGGAGTTCATCAAGTAAGTTTAGAAGTCAATAGCAGAACTTGGTAAGGTCTAAACAAAAACAAAAACAATATGAAATTTAGACCTGTTTTTCTGAAATCAAATTCTGTATGACCGCATCCTTTGCTGATATAACTTTCTGAAGGTAAGGATGAGAAAATTTTTGGCTAAAACAGTAGACTAGTTTTACGAATCAATCGAACAAATGAATCTCTGATGCATGGATATATCTTCTATTTGTGTGTGGCTTGTATTACAAATTTTTGCTGCCTCCATCTGAGCTTCTAGTTCTGAGATGGCTTTATCCTTTCTCCGAGTCTCGTCTTCATAATTTTTTAGTTTGTTTTCCAGGTCACTGATCTTTTCCGCATAAATTAGTACATGGTCAATAAATTATTAGTGGTTTCAAATTTAACCTTTCCTTCAACAATTTAATAACGTAATTTACAACATCGAAGAATTGATATATAATGATAACTTGGAGTTACCAATAAATACTTTCTCTAATGTGGAAACAGTATCCAATTTGCTCTTTAAGCCTGCCACTGTGAACAAAGCAGTGAGTTAGGAGGGATCTGACGCTGCAACTTCAAATGGAATATAAGCATACAGTAAAAATTTAAAATGTTGCTTGCCTACTTCCTCTTTCTCACTAACAACGCGTTGCACATTATCCACGACTTTCTTTACCAAAATTGCCTCCTTTTCTATTGAATCGAATAGCAAAAGATGAGATTTTATCTTCTCAGATAGGAAAGCAAGCTTTCTGTCCCTGCATTGAATCAAGCGTTTCATTTCACAAGTGGATTCCTAAACATGAACCTGACACCAGTGAGTCATATTTCGGTTAAATAGGTTCGATACAAATTCATCGTGGGATCAAAAAACACTGACAACATTGCATGGTAATCTCTCGATGTCATAATTCCAACGAACCTGACAAGTGTTGACGAAATATTCCCTGGACTGGAGTAGGTTATGAATCGTTCCCTTCAACTCCTTTTGCCTGTTCTCTAGCATAGAATTGTCACTCTGAAGGTAACTCACCTGCAAGAACAAGATTCGAAAAACAAAAAACAGCTCAATTAAAACCAAATTTGGCTGTGATCTCTAACAAGCATTTCAACAAACACCTTCACCGCAAACATAAACAATTACATAATCCGACAAACCTCTCTTTCGAGTTTCTGTCGCAGCTCATTGGAGGAAGCCAATTCCGCCAGCAATTCCTGCAACTTTCTGCCGCATTCTTCCTCGGTTTGCTTTTGTTTCTGCATCCAAACACTCCGTCAATACGAACAAGTAAACTCAAATTGCAATCGGAGAGCAGCGATTGATTTTAAAGGGAAACCTGAATAAGAAGACGGAGCTGTTCGGCGGCGGAGCGTTCCCTTTCCTGAAAGTGTGAATTCACAAAGAATGGTGAGGGAAAGGGAGATAATGGAGGTGGCGGCGATGAGAAATCTTACTCGGAGTTCTCGGACTTCGGAGATCAGAGTTTGAAGCTGGAGCTTGAATTTGGAGAATTTCAGCAACTCCATTTCCGTCTAGTGTAAAATAATAAAATTGTTTGGATGGCCGCCGGAAAAATGGCCTTCACCGCTTTTAATTCGCATTTGATTTTCCCGCCACTGGAATTTCGCGTCTTTTTTTTTTTTTTTTTACGGTTTTTTCGTTTTACCTCTCAAATGACGCGAAATTTAACTTTTAAAAATCATCTAACTGTTAAAAATAATCCAAGTTTTAATTAATTACCTTATTGAAAAATTGGTTGAAGTGTGAACTCTCTCTTCTTTTATATATTAAACCAACATATGGCCACACACAAATGTCAATGTGTGTCATAATTTTGTATTTTTGTTTTTTAAATGGAAGGAGAGAGGAAGTGAGGGAGAGAGACCGTGGGATGGGAAGAGTGGGGAGAGAGCTTTGCTTTTGGTGAGTAAATTGTAGTAATTGTCTTTCAACTTTAATCAAATTGGAGCAATGGTCTCTCAACTAAAAATCTCTTACCATTGGTCTCTCAACTCATCAAAACATGTAGCTATGGTCCCTTTCGTCAATTCCGTTAAAATTCTATCAAAATGAGTTATGTTGGAATGACCACTGCTACAATTGTGTTAAAATTAAGAGATCATTGCTCCAATTGGATTAAAGTTGAAGTACCATTTCTTTAGTTGAATTAAAGTTGAGGGACCATTGATACAATTTTTCATATTTGCTTCTTGATTTAGCCTCACGTGCATAACACATAACTCATTTGACAGAAGTTTTAACGGAGTTGACAAAATGATCATAGATGCACGATTTGATGAGTTGAGGGATCAATGGTAATAGATTTTTAGTTGATGGATTATTGCTACAATTTACTCTTTTATTTATTTTTTAATTAAAATTGTGTTAGAATCACGTGTAGCCGTGTAGGCGAGGTATTGAAATAAATAAATAAATAAATATGCAAAGTGTTGGTTGTGTGAAATTACATTATTATCCACATTTCCTATTTATGTTCAGTTTTACTTAGAGGGTTAGGATGATAATTTCATGGGCTTTTAGTCGACAATGAAAATTTTATTAATATTTAGATATCTAGATAATTATTACAAAAATAATAATAATGCATGCATCTTTCATGGCAAACTTACTTGATAAATAATTGAAATTATTCACTCTTTATTATCATCTAAAGATTACATATGTAAAAAAATTATTCATCTCGAAAATTTTTTAGTCATTCAGATGCATAAAACAAATTGACCGCTTATAGGGATGCTACTTGATACCAAAATCGTTAATTGTCTTAACATGTACGGATGACTAAAAGATTTTGAAATTGAATGATTTTTTTGCAGAAAATGGATTGGGTGATTTGAATGTTTATACTTTCAACCCTCGATCAATTTGGCCAATTAATCTTATCGTCGACTGCTTTGAATGTTTACGTAGTGTACAGCTACCTAGCACCAGATAAAATACTGGACACGTTTGACAGTTGTGTCTGAAATTAGTGTCCAAATAGGGTCGCAAAGATGATGAAAACATGTTGAGAGAAGAATTCAAAAACTTATCACATATGTTCCCCATCTGCTTCTCCAGTTGGGCTGTCTGGCATTCCTCCATTTGATTTAATTTATCTTTCAAATAAGCAGGATTTACAGCTCTCATTTCAAACACAAAATTAATAATTCATAAGAATCTAGAAAATATGCATGTTTTTTTAATTGGTGGATAAAAAGGGTTACCAATTGGACTGGATATTTTGGATCCTAATTCTTCCGAATTTGGATCCTGTTCAGATGTTAGTATCGGAATCTAAGGATCAAGAAATTCGAGCATTTCGTTTGTATGAAAGAAAAAGCTAAATTCTTAGTTTACGTAAGGTGGTCAGCTAAATGAATTAATAGAAACCATCAGATTTAATTTCAGTGATCCGAATTGTCTACTCATTGGCTCCAAAAAGTGAGATATGTCCAATTTCCTCAGGACTAGGATTCACTCCCATTCTCTTTCCATTTCCTTCAATCTCCTCCTCTCACATTCTTTATTTTGTCTTTCTCTTTCTATAAAAAAAAATTAATATAAGATGTTGACGTAGTTTAACCGTTACCATTTAAATAGAAGGTGAGAAAAAAAGATAAGGTAGATAATCCTACTTCATTTCCCCACTACCTACTATCTATCTTCCAATTATTATTAGCCAGGTGTCTCGTGGGCCACACATCATTTCAGTGGGCTTAAAAAAATATGGTCGAATTCAGGACTCCAGTTTATGTACTTTCATTCCAGACGACACTGCAACTGTGATATGTATCATGTATGCCCTCAACCAACTAAAGTCCAAATTGTTAATGTAGTGCAGCTAAGCACGAGCTGTTTTATTCTCTTGTTTTTTTTTTTTTTTCATTTTTTCTTTTTTAAAGAATTCAATTCTATCGTACAAGAATTGGACAGTGTGAATTCAAGGTATAAAAATAAAAGTAAAAATTCAAATCAATTTAGGTCATTCAATAGTTGTAGCATTTAATGTTACATAGCACAGATTAATTTTTCTCTTTTTTGTTGATGTCAAGAGAAATTTTTCCTACCCTTAATGAACCGATTACCAAAATGATACAAGGGCGTGTTAAGATTGTTTATGAAATTGTCAAAAGTATTTTATACAATCTAAAAGTGTTTATTGTTACTTTTGACCAAGAAAGAACTACGTTTGGCATAACACCTGAAAACAGTTGTCGGTGGTAGAAGTGCTTTCTGAAAATCACTTATTAAGTGTTTCAAGTAGATTTTCAAGAAATACTTTGATTTCTAATAGAAACTTTTACATGTTTACAATAAGAAGCCCAAAAAGCATTTATCAGCATAAGACTGGACCAAGGATATCTATGAGAAGACCTAGCAACGTTTATACATTTCGTAAGAATATTTTCAACAAACAATTTGGAACGAATAAAAACGCTTTCAAAAAACTAAATCAAATTCCCAAACATACCCTAAGATTGTAACACATGCTTTATGCATGGAACTTGTCAAATTTCATCAATTTTTCCTTTTCCCATAATTAAGATTTTGCACAGAAAATACATTTTGAAGAAAATGAACAGTGATAATTTGTTGTTATGGTATGGAAAACCAGAGAAAATTTTATCAAAAATTAATTAAAAATTTGAAAATGAAGGATCGGTAAGAAGATAGCGATTTTATTTAGAGTATGTCGTTAGAAAGATAGCGACACTAAGCCAAGAGGTTCGGTACCATTCTAGCAACAATCATTTGGAGGGACGTTGCTAGCGTTAGAGCGACATTTACCCATAATAATCGCTACATTATTACCGATCCTTCATTTTCAATTTAAAAATAAATAAATTTGTTAAATTTTTCTTTTGTTTCCTTTACCATAACAACAAACTATCATCTTCATGTTATTCAAAATATATTTTCATTCCAAAATCTTGATTTTGGAAAAAGGAAAACTCGATGAAATTTGACAAATTGCATCCATAAAGCATGCGTTTTATGTGACTTATGTTTGAGATTGATCTCATAAGATGCATTTTTTTCATAACACGCTTTAACTAAAAGCAGAATAATTTTTTTTACAAAATATTTAAGTACTCATATTACCCATAATCATTTTAAAATTCTTAAAATATTACCAAAAGCGTTATTGATTTTATGAAAGCATTTTTATTCCTCTAAAATTGTTTGTTGAAAAAATTCTTAGTTGCATATGCTCTTATAAACTATGAATTGCTTAGACATTATGGGACCATGTAATAAATTAAAGGATATCTATGAGACAAACTAGCAATGGCTAAGCAATTCGAAGTTTGTATGAGCATTTTCAATTAAGAATATTTTCAACAAATAATTTTTTTTTTTAACAAGCGATATTATCTAACTAAGGGGTGAGAGAATAAGCTAAACCTTACAATGGGCGAGCCATAACAATGTAGTTCAAATTTGCCTTCGGCAAAAAAAAAAAAACCTAAGACCTCTCATTTACTAATGAAGAAGAATACCCTAGATCATAATACTAAGTAGTGTAATTGCAAATGCTCATATAAACTACAAATTGCTTAGCCATTGCTAGTTCGTCTCATTGATAATTTCAACAAACAATTTGGAACCGAAAAAATATGCTTTAACCAATAACGCTTTTGGCTTTTAAGAAGTTTTAAATGTTTATGAGTTATAAAGTACTTAAATATTATATATATAAAAACTTGTTGTGCTTCTAGTTAAAGCGTTTTATGAAAGAAAAAAATGCATCTTATGAAATTAATCTCAAACATGCCTAAAGATTGTATCATGTAAAACACATGCTTTATGCATGCAATTTGTCAAATCTCATCAAATTTTTCTTTTTCCATAATTTATTATCACTCACCAATTAAGAACAGGGTAGGATTTTCTTCCTTTCTATTCTCATCCCCTTCTCTCTTCTTCTCTCACACATTATTTTTTGTCTTATTGTCTTTATAAAAAAATATATATATAAAATGTTGACGTGATTTAAATAGGAGATGAGACAATGAGAGAAAGATTAGGAGGTGGGAGAGAATCCTCCTCCATTAAGAACACCGGCTGGTAATAAGCCCCAAACAACTACTTTTTTCAGCATTGAAAAATCCATCATTATCCATTATTAAGTAGGGACCGACCATTAGGGCAGATCAGATTAAATTTAATTGAAAACTGACAATCTATAAGTTCATATTAATTCCATAAAATTGTTCTTACATCTACACTTATCAAACACTTCAATTATCATCCAAGGCCAGTTAGGTGATCCAATTCTTTGTTGATCTAAATACGAGTCGTTAATTGGTATGTTATTTTTAAACGATCACCTAGTTACGTAGAAATTGATATTTTTATCAAGAGTTTTATCTTCTTCTTTTTATACAATTATCGTTTATGAAATTTGAATTTTAATTACAACAAAGCAGAGATTTGAGAGTAGTATCGCATCGTACGGTGCCAACCGTCTGTCTAGTTACTGTATAATACTGCTACATCCACCCAAAAGAGAAAAAAAGTCGACAGAAATTCCAGAGTACCGAAGCATCTGGCATAAAATGTGGTATGGTGATTTCCTTACCCTCTTATAGTATTTTTCCCACATGGCAGGCCGAATTGAATTAATTCCTTGATGTAACAATAAACTTCTGTATTTTGGTTTTCAAAAAGAAGAAAATGCAACACAAAATTCTAAAATTAAATAAAAAATGTTACAATGTTTATGCAATAAACACTGAAAATAGTCCTTCATTTATCACGTATTCATAATTGTAAGAGATATCGATATGAAGAACAACCATGCATGCCACATAATATGATAGTAAAACCTTCCCGATCAATCAATCTCAATATTACACTCATGACAAATCCAGACGCGAAGTTGTAAATGTTAATTCAGTGTGTCGAAATATCATTATTGATGATGATGACGACAACAGAAGTACATTTAATCTTTAGAAAGGCAGAGTTACCAAGCTCTTTTCCCCTGGCTTTGCTGGTAGCTATATCAATCGCATCGGATTGAACACAGACGACAAAAAAGGACCAGTATCGCAATCAGCACACATGATGAAATAGATTAACTGCACGAGTTGAATTTCTTGATCCAAGGTGTGTTTATTTGGAGCAAGGGCAGCATATCCTTTCCGGCGACTGTGTGTGCCTAACCAGAACTGGTATAGAAAGAGGCAAAGGTTCGGCACGACTTGTACTCGAAGCAATCCCATAACCATCAATACTGTCCGATGAGTTTTGACAAATGAGTGTTGCATGTACCAAACTAAGTCAGGCCAATGACACAACCTTTGTACTTCAGTTTTTTCTTTACCCAATAGTTGTTAAATGATAAGTACGTGTAATACAACCCAATAGCTGGCTTCAAATTCACGCGTTTACTTATGCTACAGATAGTCACACACGCGTTGATTTTGATCATTGATGCATTGTGAGCTTTAGATGCATAAACGGCCAATATCAACTCACAAGCATGCAAGATTGACCGTATGACGGTTGTTTATGGGTACTCATGCGTACAATAGCCTTTTTGAAGCCTCTTATTTTTTATTTCAAATACTAAATTGGGATAAAAGAATACTACCATTAGTTGCCTGTGTGTGCAAGGATCGATGCTGATTGTCATCCACGTATGCAAAAAAGGATCTTAAATATCAATAAATTATAAGTTACATGCATCAACGGTTAAGATCATCATTCGCGTGCATGTATGCACCTTATACATGATCATGCATACAAGGGATATTTTTTCAGTCAAAGCAAAGGGAAGCTTTTTTGGCGAGTGCTAAAGTCACTGTTACTGATTATTTTCCTCTAGAGAGGTAAATTCTCTGTGAAAGTTGGTTTGGAATAGAATTTCAACCCGATTGAGATAAATTGGGATGTTTGGCTCATAAGTTATTATAACATGATAAATTTTATAGGAAAAATTGAAAATTTTAACATGAAACGCTTTTAATTTTTTTTGTCAAATGTGATAATAAACGTTGTTAATCGTCATAAAGCACTTGAAGCTTTTCCAAAAGCTCATTATTAATAAGTGTTTTATAGTATATAATTGGTAAATATGGGACATCATTTGGTAAAATATGTGACACACTTTACAAATGGACATTTGATCTAGAGACACATAATTTTTATGATATTGAAGGAAGTTCTTATGTTCAAATTCTACGTACGTCTATCATTTAAAACAACTAAACAATTACATCAAATATTGTGATTGGATATTCCTGATGTAAATATTTGGTTAAAGATTGAGTTCGAGATTAATTTAAAAAAAAAAAAAAGCATCTAATTTTATTTTTTAAGAACTATATTTCCTTTTTGGGAAACAATGATGATGGTGATAGGCCAGCGAAGGCTGGGCCTCCATGCTGCCCAAGCTTCCAAAATTGGTCCAATTCTCCTCTAACCAAATCTAAAATTATAGATTAGTCAATTCTTTAATATTAATTACACCTTTAACACACATCATAATCATAACAATGATTAAACTATAGAAAACCCACTAACCCACCTTTTAGGGGATCATGAGCTACGTTAATAAAGCATTAAACAAGCCTAATCCATGCACATAATAATCAACATGTCGTGACCCGAGACCTCAAACAAGAGACTACATTGAACTTATACTTGGACGTAGCCGGAGAAAACTGGAGCTTGACTCCTAGTTGAAAATCAGAGTAAACGCAACGATGAACGAACAAACAGATTATAACACTACAAATATTATTGAAAATAAAAAAACACTACAAGATTTACTAAGAAGGTTACAAAATTCACAAGATTACATTGTGATTAACGTGTTATTTTACGAGTTACAAAAACATCTTATGTGTAAATTTTTATTCACAGTGGTGTTTCAATCTAATAATGCAATACTTTATATAAAGTTTTTACTCATATGTAAATTGCTCTTAAAAAGATACGCATTTTCCCTGCATCAAGAAGTTTTTCAATGCAGTTATTACATTATTAGTGGATATTAACGATTAGTTCATCTTATAATACGTGAATTTATTTAGTAATATCATACATCAGTTGTAAGAGTATTGTAACACAAGCCATCTAGAGCATTTAAATCAACACTTTAATTTCGTACCAAAATCCCTCAACTTGAATACGTACATTAGTGACATTTAATTTCGCCGTCCATTTTTATTGTAATACGTGACTAACAACCTAACAATAGTGAGACAGCTTAAGATTCACGGTTATTGTAATATTCCGTTTCAATGAGTACGTGGCATCGTAGTATCAACAGTAAGACAATGCATTCGTGTACGTGACCGTGATTATTGATCCAATGTCTCCCCACCGTCAGTGTGATTGACTGGGATTGCACTTTGATCGGACGGTGGAGAAGGGAAGTGAAGGTTTACATAAAGAATAGTGAGAGAGAAGAAAGGGACAGAGAAACGCTGGAGGCTGCGAGAAAAGCTCTCACCGTAAGCGACTTCGTTTCGCAGCTCCCGAGGCCGCTGTCGATGAAAAAACAAGTTCTTTGCGTGGAGGAAGACGAGGAGAGGCGCAGTGGAAAGAGAAAAGAAAGAGTAAAACTCTCCAGTACGCAGTAGGCGCAGTGCGCACCAACGACCTCCACTGTCCAAGGAGTTCACGCACAGCACCAAACACTTTCTCTCTCTACATATCTCTCTACTTATTGCGACCTCCCTTTCGACTTTGAGATTTGTTTGAACTTACTATTTGAATCCGGCGAATGCGAACGTTAATCCGAATCCAAACCCGAACTTGAACCGTATCGGAGTGTGAAAATGGATCCGCCGACGCTCGTCAACGAGTGCTCGTTCCCTAACGCCAATGCGACGTCGTTTAATCTCTCGGAGATCTGGGAGTTCCCGATGAACGGAAGCGGCGCGAGCGCCGGAGATTCCGGAGGAGCGTTGGGGCTGCGGGGGCCGAACTTCTCGCAGAGTTTCGCGCAGTTTGGGGACGTCTCGGGCGCGATTCGGGACGTCTTGGCCGATAGTGATCCGAATACGATGAGCTTGGACCACCGAGGCAACCACGGCGGCGGACATGGCGGTGCCTCGAGGAAAAGGCGTGACGCCGACGCCGAGTCTCCCAAAAGCAGTGGCGATATTGGCGCGGTATTTATATTTTTCCTTCATTCAATATATAATTCAATTGTATAATTGCTTAAACTCGGATTAGCTTTTTGCTAATTATAGCAAACTATTTCTGTTTACTGTTTTTTCTAAAGTGATTTTCTTTGAAATTTCTAATGATTTTATTTGAAATTTCTAAATCTGCACATCTGTGATTGGAAATAGGCCATTTCTTTAATTGAACAATTTCTAAATCTGCATATTTTTGGTCCAAATTTTGTTTTGGCAGAGTGATTGTGATGGGAAACGGCTTAAAGCATCGCCTAGATGCAGAGATGAGAGTGCCCGTGAGTCGAAAGCCGAAGCGGAAACCAGTTCAGGCAAGCCGGCGGAGCCAAATGCTCAGCCGCCTGATCCGCCTAAGCAGGACTACATACATGTCCGAGCTAGAAGGGGTCAAGCTACTGATAGCCACAGTCTTGCAGAAAGAGTAATTTACGTCAATTGTCCAAGTCCTTTATTTTCGAATAATATTTTAAACTACTCTAATTTACAGGCCGGAGATTAAACTCTAGCGCTGTTATTTTCAGCTAACTTATATTAAGGGATATAATTCGAGAAACGGGACACAAATCAAGCATGTATAATCCATAATAATTACCTTTTGTTCACATTACTTCATCGTCGATTTTTGATGAATTTTCGAACAATCTTCTTGAGCTATTAAATGATAAGTACTGAATGAAAATTTGGAAATATGTGGTGGACAGGCTAGAAGAGAGAAGATAAGCGAGAGGATGAAAATTCTCCAGGATCTGGTCCCTGGTTGTAATAAGGTACGGTACGGTATGGTGTACCCATACTTTTCATATATTCATCTACTAGTCAATACCCAGTTGCATCTCAATGTGTTAGAAATCGCCTCATGGATTTTTTTCAATTTTTATTTTTTACTGAGTTGAATTTTTTCGTGTTTTTGCGTAAATTTATCTCCTAGTTTGCATCAGTACTATTGAGTTTTTTTTGAGCCTTGGATTAACATGGTAGAAAACTGCTGATTACAGTATGTTATCTGATTCAGGTTATTGGAAAAGCACTGGTGCTTGATGAGATAATTAATTACGTCCAATCGCTACAGCGTCAGGTTGAGGTATGAATCTTGCAGTTTTTCTTCATTTTTACGATGAATTTTTCAACATGTGAACTTATGCTCGAGCACTATCAATGTTTGGGATGTTGCAGTTCCTGTCGATGAAGCTTGAAGCAGTTAATACAAGAATGAACCCCGGCATTGAGGCGTTTCCTTCTAAAGAGGTAAGTCCATAAGATTATGTGCAGTTGTTGGAGTTTAGAATCACTTTCACGTCGCTTTTTTCTTTCTTCGAACGCTTCATTATATAGTACCTTCTTGTTTTCTTTTTGCAACTTTTTTCCATGTGCCATGTATTATTGCACACATGAAATTCATCATGCTGAACATATACATGTCAGCTGATGTTCTATGTTTAGTCTTATTTGAAAATCGGTAAAGTAAAACCGAAGCAAGAGGACAGCCAAAAGTTCCTCAAGTACTTCTTTACTTGATGTGAGGTTGTGCGTCTGTGTTGTTATCCATCGTTGTCTGTTTTAACGAGGGAAGACCACATTTCTGTGTTTTGAAGACCACGGTTTTCGTACTCTTTCATCAGAACTTCGTTGAGAATCTTGAGATCCACACGCATTTCTCTTTGATGAAGCTACGCGTGTCGATTAAAATAGGAATCCATGAGTTAAGAAACAAAAGATGAAAAATTCAGATGTGTTGGTGGGATTTGTTTCATTCCTCTATTTTATGAACTGTCATTCTCATAACGGATCAATTTGTATTGTTTCAGTTCGGTCAACAAACATTCGATGCTGCTTCAATGGCTTTCGGTACACAGCCTCCAAGGGATTATAGCCGCGGCAATTCACCCGAGTGGTTGCATATGCAGGTTGGTGGTGGTTTCGATAGAGCAACATAGCCTAGAAAACTCGTCTTCAAATTGGGAATAAAAGCGCAAAGGGAACGCTTCCTCCTTCAGTAGCTGTCGAAGAAGTATACTGCATTATGTTAAATCAACGAACATCTCCATCTGTTCGTGTGTCGGAAAATCGAACTTCGAACATCGTATATCATCCCTATAGCAGGATACACATTCTTCTCCGTATAAATACCTAAGCGAATACCCCGGGGGCAATTAGTGACGTTCTTGTAAAAGAATGATGCTTGTTCTATATTTCTTATGCTCCCACGTCTTGTTTAAACGTTGTTAGAACATTGATGATTTGTTATTAAGCTGAAACTACATTAATTAAATAAAATTAATTAAGCCTCTGCTCTCTGGACGTCCATTTTCTTGCTAGGCTTTAATGTTTTGATGAAGTTTACAACTTTAGCTACCATCCTTCATTTCGATGCAAATACATTTGTTGGGCCTGTTAAGAAAGAAAATGGAGACATTTGTTAGGCCCAAAGCCCAACAAAACAAGAGTTGCACAAAGAAGTTGGCCTCGTTACAAATAAAAGGGAAGAGTGTCAATTTGAACCCCACTTCTTATTTAAGGTCATCTCAATTTTTATCTATGGGGACGGATCAATGTCACTATTTTTTTACAGAATTTTTGGCATACTTTTTTATGGAATTCACTTCGTAATGTATTTCAACAATTTGAACTGTTTATATTTTTATGTATTTTCTTAAAAATCATGTCTACAAAAAATCATCAAATCTGAAACCATCTGACTGTTAAATAATGGGTTTAGGGTTTTTTTAAGTAAAATCATATTCGTCAATTTTCTTCACTACAAATGAATGTCTTAATGATTTTGGATTTGTCTAATTTTTTGCAAGAAAGACGGTTCAGATTGTTAAGAGTACATTTCAGAGTGGGCCTCACAAAACGTGTGCCAAAAGCTGTGTAAAAAAGTGGTGCCATGGATTCGCCACTTTTATCTATATATTGTTTTTTTTTTTTTTAACAAACAATAATATCTATACTAAACAAAAAGAGTAAGTTTAACCTCAGAATAAGCTAGTAATAATATTATTATAAAAATTAATTTTTTTCTAAGAACACCCCCGTATGTTCCCGAACTACCGTTAAACACCAACACATCTACAGTAATCTTCTTATAACCGAATGCAAAAATGAATGCTTTTATTTAATTGAGGTTTCATGAAATTTAAGATAAGGTTTTCGTAACAAATTGTAGACAAAAATAACCATACCCAACGTAATGGTTTCCTTGACATTTTCAGTCAAGTCAAATGAACATGAGTAGAAAATTATACTAAATAGTAAGTTTACTAAATGTAATATTAGGTTGGAGTTAAGTATAACAAGAGATTTAGCTGTGATGAATTAAGTTCAGAATTTCTTTTTAATATTTTAGCAAAAGATACATATGTGACATTTTATATATAAATTTAAATAAATTTCGATCTTTCGAAGAAAAAAATTGTAATAGGGACAAAAAAAAAAAAAAGAATTTAATTGTGTAATAGAGACAAAAATAAAAAGGGTGAAAAAAGGTATTAAAGCTTCTTATTAAAAATGATATTAAATCCTAAAATGTGCCCCATAAAATCTAACGTCCAGGAGGCAGTTTAAAAGTCTGTCAACGGCCCCCAGACCGCCACGACGCGCGTCTTCTCTCGACTCTCCAGTGACCGTTACATTCACCCACGGCGAACCAAACGACGCCGCATAGAAATATATCCGGTATAATCCGAACCAGGTCCCGCTTTGCGATTTTGAGTATTGACCCTCCAAACACCACGCTCTCACTCGCGCGTCAAGTCACAGTCCCTCTTCTTGTTTCCCCACCGGTCACCATATGCCAGATCTCGCCATACGCGCAGAGAGTACTCGCGCTGAGGAAATTACTCAATTCGCGGTCTACAAGAAAAAGAAAAAAGAAAAAGAAAAAAGAAAAAGAAAAAAAGGGAGTAAAAATGAAAGCATGTTTGAAAGGCCGTTGAATACCGCATGCACTTCCTCTGGCTCCGTACGACGAAGCGTTTTGAACCACCGTTTACCGTCGAGAAATAGGGGAGGAGACGATTGAGGGGCCGATCGGAGAGTGTTCGTTGGAAGCGACTCGTCGTTTGAGTTCCGATCGGGCCGAAGATGAGTGGATGGAATCGGTCCTCCAGAGGAGCGAGGCTGGGCGGTGGTCGCAATTCGAGTTTGCCGCCCGGGCGCACGTCGACCGTTCGACTCGGAAGAGTCCAGCCACAGGCGCCGGGTCACCGCACGATTTTCTGCAACGATCGCGAGGCTAACATTCCCGTCAGATTCCCGGTTGGTGACCCGAATTTTTCTACTTTTTGTCGTCTTATTCTCCGTTTACTCATTTTTTTATTTTTCTGTTTGGTTGCTGAGAAAATATGGCGGAATTTAGAATGATCATTGGAATTGAAATGTTGGATTGTTAATTTATCCTCCAGGAATATTGGAACTTCACTGACGTAGTTCGATAACGTCCGTTTCTTTACCTTCGTTATTTTTTTTTTTCTGTTGAATTAGTTGTGGTTAATTATTGTTGGTTTTTTATGGATAGTGTGGAATTGAAGAGATTAGGGTTTCTGTAACGGAAAAAAAATTCAATAAAAATGCTTTTTATGCTTAATGAAGCTTCCTCATGGTTCCAAGGAATGACCCATGTTCATACAAATCACAATGCTGTTGTGGAAGTAAATTTAAGCTCCTTCGATTGTTCGTGCTTTTTTAATTAATTAATTCAACTCTTAAAATTTGCTAACAACAAAAAGGAATATAAATACGCGAGAAAGATTATCAGCCTGTATAGAAGCATCAATGTGGGTAAACTCATTGTTGTCGATTGAGTCGTAGTGTTATGCTTTGTAGATTGTTAGCTGCCCACTTTTCATCTGGATCGTAGAACAGAAGATTAGGATATGGCCTTCTCAGAATTTAGAATATGTTTCTAGCACAGTGGATGTTGTCAGGATTTTGTTTTACCTCCACCATGTGCCATCGACAGGTTTATGAGTATAAACATATAGGATATGTAATCTATGTCCTGTTATCTGCCACTTTAAATCTTACTTCATTTTGTTTGTATTTGGTTTTAATTATTATGCGTTCAATTGTTCCAGGGGAATTCCATATCGACTACAAAGTACAACTTCATTACATTTTTGCCGAAAGGACTCTTTGAACAGGTAATTCACGTGCCTCCAAACTACGTAGATGAATATGATTATATTAGAATTTAAAATTATGATATGATTCGGTGCGGCAATTTCTGACCCAACCTAATGACAAGTTGGAACCAGAGCTTGTGTTCTAAATCTTATTATGGTTGTTTTTAAGTACTGAAAATTAGACTGGATGGATGAGAAAAGTTTATAGGAGATGCATTCCCTTGGTAGATAAAGTTGGAAATCTTAAAATGAAGGGCAATTTCAATGAATTTGATTTTAGTTTTCAATCAGCCTGCTTGCTGATGCAGTTCGAAGCTTATCTTCTTCTTTTTTTTTGTGATGAAGTGTAGGAATATCATTTTGCTATGGGTTATGCATAAACAACTTGACTAGAGTTGCCAATACCTATGATTTTATTTTGTCATGGTCCTGAGAAATTGTGTTTACACTGACAGTTCAGGAGGGTAGCTAACCTCTACTTTCTGACGATCTCAATTCTATCAACAACGCCAATCAGGTATGTTAACTTTATTTGGTTTGGTACTTGTTTTATAACGTCTTAACAGGAAAACGTGTATGAAGTGGAAAATGGACCTCAGTAGAGGAGATGCCAATGTTATTTGTTTATTTTTCGCATTCGGTTACACACATTTTTAAGTGGAAGTTTGTTTAAGTTTCTGAAAATAAAAAGAGCGATGTGTGCACCCTATTTTTCTTCAGTTTGGGTTCTTTGTTTTGTTATTAACACACTTACGTGCACTTTGGAAATATTGCTTACAAATTTGCTTTGGCATCTCTGAATATGAAAGGGTACTGACTAATTGATTCACCTGTAATAAATTAATTTATAATATTAATAATTGTTACAATTCTAAGCATAACGTTTTCAAGTGTGTCTAATATTGCAGTCCTGTGCATCCTGTAACCAATGTGGTCCCTCTGAGTTTGGTGCTTTTTGTTTCTCTTGTTAAGGAAGCATTTGAGGATTGGGTGAGTACCAGTCTGCCTATTATATCATGCAACCTTGATTTTTAGTATAGCCTTTTTTGTTTTTCTGTATTGCCAATATCAACCTTTTCTCTCTGTGATAGCTGCGGTGTGAAGTTTTATCTATCATTTATGCAGTTAAGTATGAAAGCGAGGACGAATGAATAACTATGTAGCTTTTTATTTTGAATTTATGTTAAACAGAAGCGCTTCCAGAATGATATGACCATAAATAATGCTTCTGTGGATGTCTTGCAAGATCAGAAATGGGAAAGTATTCCCTGGAAAAAGTTGCAGGTTGGAGATATTGTCAGGGTGAGTGTACTGCTTACTTATGTTTCCTTACGGATATGCATTTGATGTGCCATAATATGATATAGGCACTTCTATAAGGTTATTGTGTTATGCTGTAACATGGATATTGGTTGTAACTCCTGTGGATGATGATGGTTGTTGTATGTTATAAAACCTTACCCACCCAACCCTGGGGCAGGAAAAAAAATTCCCATTTATCATATAAGCATTTGAGCATCATGTCGTTTTCACCTTATGGTGCATCTATTTATTTTCTGCTGATTATTTTTCTCGAGTTTGTCATATTATTCATTTATCTTCTATTCCCATCATTGTTTATGGCTCATTTGCCTGCCATTGTGATAGAACTTTAAAGGCTTGTGAATTATCGTATCCGAGCTTCCTTCATTAAAGACTTTGCTTTGTATTGGGAGGTTTTGCTATGTCATATTATGTTTTGAGATTTTTCTATGGATAAACAAGTCTCCATGACTATTGGCGCTTTTGACAACCCAGCTCTGTGGGAGTTGATTCTTCTTTGTGGCAACAAGGGTGGTGGGAGATAGAAACTACTAAGTGCTGTCATCCAGCCGATGCATGGTCTTGTTGGCATGTTGATGATGTGTGTGTAAATAATTATGCAATAGTTGAATGGGCACTACAGCAGAATAGAGATTGTTGCTATTGGAGAGGTATTGTCATGTTGATGATGTGTCCAAACATGATCATACGATAGTTGAATTGGTTGGAAGTTCTCTTGAATGGTAACTCTTCATTGTGATGACGTGTTTAAATAAACTTGGTCTTGTGATGGCTAAGAAGGTTGGAAATTCCCATTACTAGTAACTTTCATTTCTCCCCCCTTGCTGTCCAAAGTTTTAGAAACATGGAATTGAGTAATGCTTTATATGGTCATGATGATTTTTTTGTAGCAATCAGAAGATAATTGATTCATACTGTCTTGGATGTTTGCTGTCTTTCTTTTAAACGTTTGAGTTGTTCTGTCGTACATTTGCATGTTGTTTCCATTAAAAAAAGAATGTTATCTGGCATTACCTAGAAGCTGATGTTTTGTATTGGTTTTAGATTAAGCAGAACGGATATTTCCCTGCAGATCTGCTTTTTCTTGCTGGTACAAACCCAGATGGTGTCTGCTACATTGAGGTTCTTGATTCTTTCATATCTTTTAGTTTTTGAATATTCAGTCATGCATGTTTGACATGGATGGAGTCACCCTTTTTTGAACTAAATAATAAGAAAAATCTTTTCCTATTTTTGTTTTTGTTTTTGTAACAGACTGCAAATTTGGATGGGGAAACTAATTTGAAGATCAGAAAAGCATTAGAAAAGACTTGGGATTACTCGACTCCTGAGAAAGCATCTGAATTCAAAGGTTTAGTATTTCCTGTTAACCTGCCGTTCGGCAAGTCTTTAGAATTGTACATTCATATACTTGAGTGTGCTTCAAACAATGATCCAAGTAATCTTGTTAAATGCGATGGGTATGAAATTTGATTGCTAAATTGACGAGTCATTTGTTGCGGTTGTGATGAACATTTAATTCATTGCAGGAGAAGTGCAGTGTGAACAACCTAACAATTCATTGTACACCTACACTGGAAATCTCATTATTGACAAGCAGACATTACCTCTATCTCCAAACCAAATTCTGCTACGAGTATGATGTCTTTTTGTTTCTCAGTATTGGAATTTATTTTAGAACGTGATTTTAATATTTTCCCTTGGATTTTGCGCCCATTTTTTATTTATGTAAAGTTACTCTTGCAGCTGATAAAAATGGTCTATGTATTACTATCTTGCATTTCAATTTTCTATGGAACTAGTTGGTCTGCATGAATTTTTTTGCTTCACTAATAGTTATAGAATTGTGAATTATGTTAATCTTTGTGTTATTGATCCATAATGGTCTTGTATTGTTTATTTGATCTGATTTCGACTCTCGTATCCACTTGTGAAACTGACCTGGGAAACTCATTGGAATTGGGACTTTGCTATGTTTTTACAGGGTTGCAGTCTCAGGAATACTGAGTACATTTTTGCGACTGTTATATTTACAGGTCATGAAACCAAGGTATGTTGTCATGAAGTGGAGTAAATTAAATGCCTCTATTTTTAACTCCCACCCTTTATTTTTACATATGTAGAGTGTAGTAAACATGAATTCTTGGATTAGTTGCCTTCTTTGTCCGTCAGTGTTCTTACTTCAGTAGATGTTTGTGACTTGGATTCTCTTTCAGAAAAAGTACTTTGGTGCTATTGTCTTACACATGCTTCTTTTACTTGTCCCATTCCTCTTATTCTATTGGTACCTCCCTCTTGTTTTTGTATTTTCTGTCCATACTTGTGAACTATTGATAATTTTCTATTTTGGTTATTGCAGGTTATGATGAATGCCATGAATGTTCCTTCGAAAAGAAGTACACTGGAGAGGAAACTTGACAAACTTATACTCGCGCTTTTTGCTTTTCTCTTTACATTGTGTTTGATTGGAGCTATCGGCAGGTGCGAGAATATGCTATCCAGTAATTTGATTGTGTATTTTCCTTTGGAATTTATATTACCACTCAAATTCTTTACATAATTTTTCCGCATCATGATGATGTTTCTGGTTTATGTAATTCTATAGTGGTGTATTCATCAACCACAAGTACTACTACTTAGGTCTCTGGGGAAAAAAGAGCGGCGACTCGGCAATGGCATACAGCTCGTTTGACCCTAATAACCGTTTTCTGGTAACATTCTAGCTTCAGCAGAACATTTGCTGTAGAGATTGATTCATGTTGTACTATTTCTTTTTGCTTATGTCGTTTATTGGTCTTATAGGTTATCATTCTGACGATGTTTACCCTCATTACTCTGTACTCAACAATAATCCCTATTTCTCTTTATGTTTCCATCGAGGCAAGTTTCTTCACTCGACACTGCATCTGCTTGCTATTTAATACTTTTTTGATGGGTTGAAAATTCTATTAAAATTATTTTATCCATTGCAGATGATCAAATTTATCCAGTCTACCCAATATATCAATAATGACTTGCGTATGTACCATTTTGAAAGCAATACCCCTGCCTTGGCTAGGACGTCAAATTTGAATGAAGAACTTGGACAGGTAAGTTAATCCCATATTGGCATTTTAATTGTGGAGCACAAGGTTTTTTTCTCGCTAATTTATTCTAGGAAAAACAATTATTTGTTACTATTTTCGTTTACTTTATATTCTAATATTACTATTTATCATAGTTAGTAAAATACGGAACGGGTATAGTACGTGAAAAGAACATAATTGTATTATTAGGCAACTTTATTATTTAAAAATTGGGCCAATTTTTAAATTTTAAATTTATTTATTTACTTTTTTCTATTAAAAAATATTTTAAAAGTACGGTAGAATACGTGAATTTTATATGTATTATTGAAAAATGTGTGAAAATAACGTGGTTTAACCATGAAAAGTACGTACATGCATGTATTATACATGTATTATACGTTGGAGTTTAAAAAAACGTGCAATTCAACGAATCATTAATAGGTGTTCGAAAAAAGGAATTTTTTTTTAAAATACGATGTAGTTGTATACACCAATTTACTAATTAGAAAAGATTTACATTGTTTTAGTATCCCAGAGGAATGTTTTTATTGAAATCTCTGCTCTTATAATGCTTTTGTTGATGGTGACACCGTGACAGTCTATTCTTTGGTCAGGTGGAATACATCTTTTCTGATAAAACTGGAACTCTAACAAGAAACTTGATGGAGTTCTTTAAGTGTTCAATTGGAGGGGAGGTCTATGGAACTGGTATCACTGAAATTGAAAGGGGAATAGCAGAGCGGAATGGTATAAAACTTGTTGAGGTATATTTCACTCTTTCTGTGTGTAGTACATGCATACATACATACACACATGTATGTATGTGTGTGTGTGTGTGTGTGTGTGTATAAATGATATAATTATGTTAGATATTAAATGAAAAAATCTTCCTCTTAATGGAGTTATGATTTCACTACAGGGTTACAATTCAGGCAATGCAGCCCATGAGAAGGGATTCAACTTTGATGATCCTAAGCTTATGCGAGGAGGTTGGAGGAATGAGCCTAATCCTGATCTTTGTAAGGTAGATTTTTTTATTTGCTAGAAGTATATTTAAATATCTTCATCATTACCGTGGTGTGGAGCTACATGCAGCATGCTCAATGTTGGAAGTTCTTTTTCTCCTTTCGTTTTGGGGGATTATGATAGCTGTTTTCGCTCTGTTGTAGTTTTTCTCCTTGCCATCTTGTTTTATGGTCTTTAGGGTCTATGGAAGTTTATTTTCTTTGAGGGAATTCCATACAGAATTATTCTTACGACAACTGAATTAGTGTATCTCTGATTCTCTGACATACCATGAAGGCATATCATAAATTCTTAGCTTTGATACTTTTATTGATAGTTTTTGTTCTATTGGTAGGAATTCTTCAGATGCCTTGCTATATGTCACACAGTGCTTCCTGAGGGTGAAGAGTCCCCAGAAAAAATCACATATCAAGCTGCATCCCCTGATGAGTCTGCTTTGGTAATTGCTGCAAAGAACTTCGGCTTCTTCTTTCACAGGTATACACTTCTCGTTTCTGTCCTATTGACTGGGATTGCTATTTGTCATACTTTTAAACCACATAGTGACAGATGTGTGAAGGGAGGTTCAGTTTGGTCACATCAGATAACACCGAACTATTTTTATTTGATCCATGAATTTGTTTCCATCTGATCTATATTTCAACTGTTTGAATTGGGTCTCTTATTTTTTTTGTGCTAATAATGTTGCTTTCCGTTCTTTTTTCTGGTTCTGCTAGAAGTGCCTTGAGAGAGCTGTTATCAATTAGTCCAGCTTATTTAAGGTTGATATCTTCCTTTTTTTCTCAGACGTACACCAACGATGATATATGTTCGTGAATCTCACACTGAGAAAATTGGTACAGTTCAAGGTGTGTCTTACGAGATTCTCAATGTGCTTGAATTTAATAGGTGGGTTATGTCCTTGAGCACATTTGTTCACTTGTATTTTTTGGGCCATGGTACTTTTATAATTTCATGGTTGATTGACTAACATTTATTACATATCTGTTGCTTAACTAGTACAAGGAAGCGTCAGTCTGTTGTATGCCGTTACACAGATGGCAGGCTTGTTTTGTACTGCAAGGTAATAGCTTATTGGGCTTTTATATTCGATGAAATTGCTGAGCAGTTGGCAAATAAATTGACATTAAGTCAGGAACCTGTTATTGATAGGGTGCTGATAATGTAATCTACGAGAGATTGGCTGATGGACAAGATGATTTGAAAAAAGTATCTAGGGAACACTTGGAATTATTTGGATCTGCTGGATTACGTACTCTTTGCTTGGCCTATAGAGATTTAAGTCCTGATACATATGAAAGCTGGAATGAGAAGTTTATTCAGGCTAAATCCTCACTACGGGACCGTGAAAAGAAGTTGGATGAGGTATGTTCTGTTGAATCTGGTTTTGGTAGTAAAGGGGTGTGACTTTCTAGATTTGGTGTGAACTGTTATAACTTCATTAGCTTTATTACTTCGAGTTGTTTTCTGTTTTATTCTTCTATGCATCCATTTCGTTTTTGTTTTACCAACCCCTGCCCCCTCCTCTCTCTTTCATTGTTTATTTTTAGTGATGTTGATATTAAATCATTGCAAAATTATTTTGAAATCAATGAAGGTGGCAGAAATCATAGAGAAGGATCTCATTTTGATTGGATGCACTGCCATCGAAGATAAGCTTCAAGAAGGAGTCCCAAATTGCATAGAGACTCTATCAAGAGCTGGTATTAAGATTTGGGTGCTAACAGGGGACAAGATGGAAACTGCAATAAATATAGCTTATGGTGAGTGGTATCTTATGAGAGTTGGGGCTTCTTTATTCCCTTCACATTCTCTCTCTCTCTCTCTCTCTCTCTCTCTCTCTCTCTGTGATAACATTATCTTTTGTTTTCTTAAATTTGCTGCAGCATGCAATTTGATCAACAATGAAATGAAACAGTTTATTATCAGTTCAGAAACTGATGTGATTAGAGAAGTTGAGGACAGGGTAAGCAAAAAATATATAGCTTGCATGTTTAGCCTGTACATACATTAAAAATCACTATCAGCCACGATATTTGCCATTTGCATAATACATTCTGATTCTGGCGTTAGGGAGACCAAGTGGAAATTGCACGTGTCATTAAAGAACAAGTCAAAAAAGACCTAAAGAGGTGCCTCGAGGAAGCGCAAAACTATCTTCACAGTGTGTCTGCACCAAAACTAGCACTTGTAATAGATGGGAAGTGCTTGATGTATGCCTTAGACCCCAGTCTACGAGTGACGCTACTCAACTTGAGCTTGAATTGTAACTCAGTTGTTTGCTGTCGAGTTTCTCCTTTGCAGAAAGCACAGGTGAGTTTTCCAATGGATTTCAACTCTTAACATTATGTGTTTGAGTAATAAGCCTATGAATTCAAGAACCTTTATGAATCATGTGTTGGGCTACTCCCTATATTGCCAGTTGGTTTTATAGTGGATCCTCAACTTCTTCATGGTATCAGAGCAGGCTGTCCCACGTGTGAAGTCAAATGGCCACATGTGCTCCATGTCACCTGAGTTGTGTTGTCCATGTGTTAGGCTTGGAAATTCACCACACGTGAGGGGGTGTGTTGAGAATGAATCCCACATTGATGAGAGGAGGGACCTTGCATGTGCTTATAAGTAGTTGGGCTCTCCCCATATTGGCAATTGGTTTTAGGGTGGAACCCCAACTTCTTCAAGAATAGCTTCACTAGAGAAGCATTAGGAAACTAGTTTTAGTTCTTAAAATTTTGACTCTCTAATATATATAATATTTAGAAGTTTCATATTTTAAAAGTGAAATTATGTAGTTCACTTGAAGCATTGCCACTGTCTTCAGGTGACAAGTATGGTAAAAAAGGGTGCAAAGAAGATAACACTGAGCATTGGTGATGGTGCCAATGATGTGAGCATGATCCAAGCTGCTCATGTTGGCGTTGGAATAAGTGGGCAAGAGGGAATGCAAGCAGTGATGGCTAGTGATTTTGCTATTGCCCAGTTCCGCTTTCTTACTGATTTACTGCTTGTGCATGGACGGTGGTCATATATTAGATTATGCAAGGTATGGATTTCTTGCAACTTCCAAAACTTTAACATCTATTGTGTGGTCACGAGCTTGACAAATCTTATTGCATTTTTCAGGTTGTTACATACTTCTTTTACAAGAATCTTACATTCACGTTAACTCAATTTTGGTTCACCTTTCAAACTGGATTTTCTGGTCAAAGATTCTACGATGATTGGTTTCAGTCATTGTATAATGTCATATTCACAGCCTTGCCTGTAATCATCGTTGGGCTTTTTGACAAGGTATTGTATCTGTCCATACACTCAATAATGCATTTTTTTTTTTTTAAATTGCGTCTGGGAGAAATTATTATTTGGGTCGTTGCCTTTTTAGTGGATGAGGCGTATAAACTTTTTTATGAGTGTCAACTTTCTTTATCAGGATGTGAGTGCAGCCCTCTCCAAGAAGTACCCTGAACTATACAGGGAGGGAATAAGAAATGCCTTTTTTAAATGGAGGGTTGTGGCAGTATGGGCTTTCTTCTCCGTTTACCAATCTTTAATCTTCTATTATTTTGTCACTTCATCAAGTGATCGTGGTCAAAACTCATCCGGAAAGATGTTTGGACTTTGGGATGTCAGCACAATGGCCTTTACTTGTGTTGTAGTGACAGTCAACTTTCGTTTGCTTATGATGTGCAATTCAATCACAAGGTGGCATTATATTAGTGTTGGAGGAAGCCTTGCAGCGTGGTTTATATTCATCTTCATATATTGTATCATAGACCAGAAGGTTGGTCCTTTTATCTTTGTATTTGGTTTGTTCTTTGAGTTTTTTATCGAAATATTTGAGATATTTAACTTATTTATTTTTATTGCAGAGAAATCTTTATTACGTCATATATGTCCTGATGAGTACCTTCTATTTCTACCTGACACTTCTACTAGTCCCAGTTTTTGCACTTTTTGGCGACTTCGTTTACCAAGGGTAAGAAAATGAGATCTCTGTTGCAATCTGCAGCTTTTCAATACGTACGGGTTGGTTCTTCATTTATCATTGATGAAATAACCGATGGTTTTTTTATACAGGATCCAGAGATGGTTCTTCCCTTTTGATTATCAGATAATTCAGGAAATTCACAGGCATGAGCCCGAAGGTAGAAGCAGGGATGATTTGCTGGAAATCGGAAACCAGCTCACCCCAGCCGAGGCAAGGAGCTTTGCCGTAGCTCAACTCCCTCGGGAGGTATCAAAACACACAGGGTTTGCTTTTGACTCGCCTGGATACGAATCATTTTTCGCTTCCCAGCTGGGAGTCCATGCCCCTCAAAAAGCATGGGATGTCGCTCGGAGAGCCAGCATGAAAAGAACAGCGAAAAAGAAATAAACTGGATTAAGAAGATTCTTGTATAAATTATCATTTGGACGTCGAGGCGTAGGAAAATTTGTAATTAGCCCTGTGCCATATCACCCGTAGTTGTAGCTCTTTTGATATATCCAGTATCTGTTTTACGCCTTCAGAAACTGTAGTGGTATATCCAGGTTGTACATTTACATGATTTAAATCAACTTAGAGAAGAGCATTCTCTTCCAGTGTAAGAGAAACTACATTTCGACCATTTTTCGCTGTTGATGACGAACTGTTTTCTCGCTCGAGGTCGAGGTTGTATATTCGTCCCACATTTTTGTAATGTGAGCTGTAAGAAGCCCTAACTTATAACTTCTGTCAATTGATTGCGATAATGTTCAAGGTTTTTGCCTCAGATTCTTCAATGTGCGCTGGCTCGATAATGTATTTTGGCTTAAAAATGGAAATTTCAATCAAAATAGATAGTAGATTAAAGGGCACTATCAAAGTGTTTTATGACAAAAGCATAACGGAGGGAAGGGAAGAATCGAATATAGGACCTTGGGTGCAGAAGTACGGGCACTAAGAGCTATTCCACCCTTAAAGACTTTGCACGAGTATTCAGCGTATTTATCCACTTAAGTAAACAGTAATAGACCCCAGTGAACAGTAATAGGTCAAAACATCTCCACCCTTAAAAAAAATGGGCTGGCACCCCAGTTTAAAAATGCGCTGGCACAAACGACAAAATATGCTGGCACCCAGCCCATTTAAAATATTTTAAATTTTTTTATAAAAGAATAAATAAAAAAATAGTTTTAATTTCGGATAAAATTTTTAACCAATCTTGTAACGCCACGTATCATTATCCGAACGTACTATTTTGTGAATAGATACAAGAACCACAACCAACTCAATGACAGAAGGACAAGAGAGAGCACTACGAAGCAAGAAAAATTACTCCCCATCGTATAATGATAATCTTTGTTCACTTGTTTTGGTTTCTTGAAGTATTTCTTCATCTGCACAAGAACTAGATTCAGAAGCGCTTCCTTCTTTTTCAAGAGTGCAGGTGCAGTCGCCTTCTTCAACGAGCCGCGGCCAGTTTTCTGACAAGGATTGCTGGCATTCATTTAATGACTCTTCATCTCCCTCATACTCATCATCACCTTCACAGACAAAATGAATCCCCCACTTTTCAGCCGCCTTTCATCAATGGCGGATCTCTCCTCGTCACATGTATCTTATAACCGTCTTTTAACTACAAAACGGTACCAAGCGATCCCCAATCGGGTACCAGCACAAGTGAACTTGGTCTTCATTCGTGTTTGGTTCTCCACTACGAGGGAGTTCTTCTCTTATGTCATCTGGTATTTGCTGGTTGAGAGAGACTACAACGCCTATGATCACGCTTTTGCGAACGCGGTTTTTCTTTCGGAGAATGTAACCGCACCTTGAGAAAACCAGTCTGGTATCTTGTTTCCTAGCATGCTAAGATTCCGTTTTTTCCTCAAGTAGCTCTGCAACAAAAGATTTCAAACCGATGACGACTTAGTTACACTTTTTATACGTGTGCGTATGTGTGTGTAGAGAGAGAGAGGACCTTAGCAAGTCTTTTCTTAACAACTGAGGAGCAAGCATTGCAACCACTCGTATACAACCTCACCAAGGACTTCAAGCACTCAAGGCCCGGAATACCGACAACTTTGTCACAACTTGTAAGTTTCAGCTCCACTAAGTTTCGCAGGTTTGAAATATCAGAGACACTTTCTAATGAGGTGCAGTTTGCAACATTTACCTCTTCCAAACTCGAAGGAACCGGAGGAAGAGACTTGAGAGTGTGAAAGTCCAAGCACAATTAGTATTGCACCCTAACCTTTCATTCCTACGTAGTAACATAAACCAATGAGAAAGTAGAGAAAAGGCATATATATCCAACTTCCAATTATATAGTTAATGATAAGATTGTTGACATCTAAACAGTCGCAAAGGAAGAATTGTATGATGGAAGAAATGATTAATTTTATCTAAGAGACACTTTTAAAGCATTCCCTGATCAACTCAAACTTTAGACTAAAACCTTATGTGTTACAATTTTTTAATTCAAATCAACAAATCTTAGTGCACAATGCAACGTCTTTTTTTTTTTTTCATTTCAAAATTGTCTTTTATATTAATTAAACCAAAATCGAACAAAATTTGTTTTGAAAAAATCTAACAAATTATGAAATTTAATATTAATTCCACAATTAACCATGCTTAATTAGCATGGTTCAGAATAAAGAGAACAAAATAATAGCTTTGGAGGGGTTTTGTTTGTGATGTTACATGCATATTGATTTATCGAGCCATGAACACATAAACATATATCGAATAAGTGAGAAACATTTCACTCATTAAGTTGTCGTGTACAAATCCATAAATTAACAAAAATAAAAATAACTAAAGAATTAGCCTGAATAATACAGGCGCCAACTATATATATATATATATATATATATATATGTATGTGTGTGTGTGTGTGTGTGTGTGTGTGTGTGTGTAGGCCAATTGGTATGGCTTTTATGTCTATAGTGGATGAAACGACGTACGTAAACAAAATTTGAGGTTAGATGAAACTACGTACGTAAACAAATTTGTGATACAGATGCATATTATTATTTAATTAAAGTGTCTACCTTAGCTGGACAGCTGGTTCAGATTACCAAAGGCATAACTGAAGGAATTGGATCCGCTCCGGACCTTAGTGTCCGGAGCCTAAAGATAAATTTATTTGAATCGCTGATTGTTGTGTAAAAAAAATTGAAATCGTTGATTTTATGTAAAAGGTTAGAAAAATAAGTTAATGGAGACTATTGAATTGAATTTGTACGGTCCAAATAAATTGGTATCTAGACTCCAGACACTAAAGTCCGAAACTGATCGAATTCCATAACTGAAAGTTGTGATTTGACAGAACATCATTTCAATGATCACCAAGTTGACTGATTTTGGTTTTAAAACTCCTAATTTCGTCATAAGTTCCTACAGTATATATTGTAGTCTAGAAGCTCTGGTTCTTCGATTTTTAGTATTTAGATCGAATCTGTTTACTTTCCGACGTCGGGATAAATGGTGCAATTGTTTTTTTTTTTTCAGGGAAGGAAAAGATTTACAACAAGAAGCTCTTAGGGCAAGCAAATTTATAGAAATTCTAGAATCAAATACAACGCGCCTCAACATGAAGATTCTGCCACCACAAATGATCGACAGAAGATGCTTGCCACGCTTTAGCCAGTGCGTCAATCACAAAAATTAACTTCGTGGAAGATATGACAGAAAGAAATATTGGAAACAGCAAGCAAATAACTTTTGGATGTTGGACACCAGAGTAGCTAAGTTGCGAGGGGATAGAAGAGGTCCCATTCAAAGCATTAAGAAGGACTTTAGAATCCCCCTCCACCTCCAAGCAAGAGAAACCACGATCATGAGCAGTCTTAAGACCATCAAGGAGAGCTTGACCTTCAGCAATAAGAATATTATAACAGTTACATCATCTGCGGTTAGCGACAAAAAAAATTGTCCAAGTCACTTTATATATAATATATTGGGTAGAAGATATATTGATTATGACAGTGTAACGATCACAAACAAATAATTACTGTATGAGAGCAATAAGCTAAATAGATATTTTATCCTTTCTCTATGTAACTATAAACTGTCCTCAAAGGCTCAAACTCAATTCTTATCCCGGTACCTAAAAAAAAGGGGTCAATCCAAACCCTCATCATTTGAGTTCAAGATGAGATGGGGACAATATAGGAATAAGAAAATCATCAAGTGGAGACTAAATATTATATAGAGAATCAGCTATAATTTTTTTTTTTTTTTTTTGTTTGACAACGGGGCATAAGGCCGAACGAAAACGAAGATTAATTACACAAGAATATCACGAAGCCACGAGATTCTAGATATATTTACAACTAGCAATCGACAATAAGAAAGAGGAGCTTGCTAAAAAAATATTGGACTCAAACTGCATGACAACCCTAAACGAATCAAATCATCAACAACAAAAAAAAATTTCACGATAGATATGACATATATATTATTATATGAATTGCATATTTTTATTTAAATTAAGGAGGAGACATATATCAAGTTTCTGTCCTTATATGTAAGGGTGTATTTAATTGGGATTTTGAGGGATTTTAATTCTTTTAATGAATATAGTGGTATTCAATTAGGATTTTAAATGATTCCCTGAAATTCAATGTGTATTCAATCATGATTTTAAGATAATTTATTAAAATCCTTAGAAATTCCGGTGAATTCAATTAGAATTTTAAAGAAGTTTATAACATTCCGGTGTATTCAATTATAATTTGGAAAATTTGAGAAATTAGAGGGAATTTGAGAGATTTTGTAGTGTATTTTAAGCATCCACAAACCTCACCTCAACCCATGAGATTTCGAGGGAATTAAATTAAAATTTTACATTAAATCTCTACAAATCAATTAAACTCCATAAAAATCCATTAAAATCTCTCAAATTTCCAATTGAATATACCCTCCTTATTCTTTATTTTGACAGGACGTTCCAGACATTCTTGATTTGTCTATTACACTGCTTATGCCTTAACTTAATAGCAAAACTACCGTATCTATGGGATTTGTAAGTTGTGTAACCGTACTTATGGGATTAATTTGTAACCTAAGCATATACGTATAGACACCGGAGAATTTAGGGTTTAGGGTACACAGTTACACTACTTCTACATGCCATACCAACGTGGTGTTATATATGTACTGTCCACTTATATATATATATATATATATATATATCACTGTTCTAAAAATCTCCGCCTAACGTCATTTAGGCCACGCCTAGGCGCTGGGTCACCGTCCCGATTAGTCCTTAGGCATTTGAAAATTAAGAAAATGCAACTAATACCGCTTAGGTGTCCACCTAGCCTGCTTAGGCACCTGCCTAGCTAGCCTGCCAAATCCGCCTAAGCACCCGCCTAGGTTGCGACTCTCACTTAGATAGAAAATCGATAACTTTCATTTTGCATTTTAATTTTTCAATAAAATGTAAGAAACTTGTTGAATACTTGGATGAACACTCATCATATGCTTGTTCCCTATGTTATTGATGTGTTCTAATACCTTATAATTTATATCTCATTTTATGTTGCAATTTATGTATCTCAATACAATTATGTATGTTTTTTTAAGTACAAATCAGCACTTATTTATACAATACATAATAAATTTACTTAAATCCACCTAGGCGCTAGGCCCCAGCCCGCCGTCGGACTAGCGCCTATCATTTTATAGAACTTTGATATATAGACCATCCACTGTTCAAAAAGCGGCTTAGGCAGGGCCTAGGCACTAGGTGGAGGTCGGGTGCCCCGATTAGGGTCTATGCGT